CCAAAGCACAACAACTTCGAATCTGTTGGAACAGATCCGACCAGCAACATCTAAGGAACATGGACACAAACATGAAACAGACAACAAACGCAGAGAGAGAACAAACAGGAGATTAAAAGCAAAACACGAAAAAACAACCAACAATCAACAGACCCAAGCTCCAGGACCCAAGATCGGACACTTGGAAGACCAAGATGTGTGTTGTGGTTTTTCGACGTTTTGGCAGGAGTCGTGTGTGTCATGGAGTGTGTCCATCAGCAGCTGAATGGGACAAGGCAAGACTCAGAGTAAGGATAAAATCAGCACCAAGACCTTGAAAAAGACTTAGAACCAACAGGACCGATCCAGCGACTCTGGAGACTCAGGGACTCCAAAAGAAATTTTGAACCAAAAGAGTCTCAAGGACCACTTTAATAACCTGACTTTTGAACCAAGGGGGGGCGTCTTAACACCAGGGTGTTTTGCACCATTTTAAGTCCAGATCGAGCTCAAAGGTGTCTCAACACTACTTGGGCAGAAAACCCAAAACCAGGTGTGTCTTATGAATCGACTTTGAACCATGGAGTGTCTCGCTTGCAGAGAGATCCCAAGAAATGCAGATGCTTTTTGAGCTTGCCAGAAAGTTGCAATCGTTGGTCTGAAAAAAGGAACCTTGAAATTATTCATCAAAAAAAGTGATCCGAAAAAAAAAAAAACAGTACAGACAACACCTGACAATCAACAAAAGTAAGACGATCAAAAGGTAAAAACATCAAAAACAAGCTCTGACAACAAAACACATGTCAGATGTACTCCGGTGTTTCGCTCGCTTCGCTCGCACTTATTCACATTGTGGAAAGACACTTTGCCTTTTCAAAACGGTTCGGTTTGGGCGTCGCGCGCAACATGGACGTCTCAGCAGTACAGTTGAACTCGTCTCGTCCTGCAGTTGATTTCTGTCCAAACGGCACTGTCAGAGGCTTTCAAAAACGCTTGTTTCAAGCAATTTCAAATCGCGGACTTGGGAGGTCAAGAGGAGCTTTTCACGGAGAAGACGCGCTTCCTGACCATTGTTCAAAGCACTTCTAAACGATGGAGTGTTGGAAGATTTGCCGGATTCCTTGGCCATTGTTTCAAGCTGCTTTTTTCATCATCTTCAAAGATGTTTGAAAGCCACTGGAACGCACCTCTTTTTGCTTTTCAGCAACCGAATCTGAGCATCGAGGTCGTGCCAGGAAAGGGGGCCTGGGGGTCCTAGTTTAGGGGGTCCATTTGGCCCGCAAAATTAACTACACCCCTCCAGCCCCCCACAGTTGCAGCCGCAACCAGCAGCAACAAGGACAACAATTCACAGGCTGCGAACACACAGACCACCTCCACAAGAGATTCTACTTCAGCTCAACACGACAGCTGTCGTTGCAGGCGTGCTGTCTGTGGACAAAAATGGAGCAGCAATTCCCTAAATTGGGGGGCCCGAAAACAGGGCCCCAAAAAGCTTCCAAAATTGGACCTACTTGTTGGCAGAAAGAGAGGAGGTCTTTTCATTGTTTTACATGCTTGGGTCCCAAATTATGACCCCAAAATGGGCCCAAAATTGGGACCCCAAAAATGGGTTCAAAACTGCTCCTGCAACCACAGCTGCAAATTCCATCACAAAAGCACACACACACACACACAGAGACACACATTTGCAGGACAGAAGAACAAGAATTGCAAAGCTGGTCCGGCAAAAAATTTTTGCAGATCTCAAGTAACCCACTTTGGGGGGCCAGACGTGCGTTGCCAGAAATTCATGGTTGCAGGCACCCCCAATTCTGGTCCCCAAACTTGCTCCATTTCGTACTTTTGGAGACTGCATTGAGAGAACCAACACACACGACACAGAGACACACGATACAGGACAACCGACGACCGCAAGGACCGACGGACTCACAAAGAAACATGCCAAATCACCAATCGAGTTGAACTAAAGGAAGGCCAAAATGCCAAAAAAACCTCATGGACCCAAGACCAACTGAGGATCAAGACCGATTCAACTCAAATGATAAGAAACAAACCAGGGGACCCAATCGACCAGAAGCTGAGGGACCACCACAACTCACAACAAGGGAAAAGGACAGACTGAGCTCAAAGGACTGAATCCAAAGCACAACAACTTCGAATCTGTTGGAACAGATCCGACCAGCAACATCTAAGGAACATGGACACAAACATGAAACAGACAACAAACGCAGAGAGAGAACAAACAGGAGATTAAAAGCAAAACACGAAAAAACAACCAACAATCAACAGACCCAAGCTCCAGGACCCAAGATCGGACACTTGGAAGACCAAGATGTGTGTTGTGGTTTTTCGACGTTTTGGCAGGAGTCGTGTGTGTCATGGAGTGTGTCCATCAGCAGCTGAATGGGACAAGGCAAGACTCAGAGTAAGGATAAAATCAGCACCAAGACCTTGAAAAAGACTTAGAACCAACAGGACCGATCCAGCGACTCTGGAGACTCAGGGACTCCAAAAGAAATTTTGAACCAAAAGAGTCTCAAGGACCACTTTAATAACCTGACTTTTGAACCAAGGGGGGGCGTCTTAACACCAGGGTGTTTTGCACCATTTTAAGTCCAGATCGAGCTCAAAGGTGTCTCAACACTACTTGGGCAGAAAACCCAAAACCAGGTGTGTCTTATGAATCGACTTTGAACCATGGAGTGTCTCGCTTGCAGAGAGATCCCAAGAAATGCAGATGCTTTTTGAGCTTGCCAGAAAGTTGCAATCGTTGGTCTGAAAAAAGGAACCTTGAAATTATTCATCAAAAAAAGTGATCCGAAAAAAAAAAAAACAGTACAGACAACACCTGACAATCAACAAAAGTAAGACGATCAAAAGGTAAAAACATCAAAAACAAGCTCTGACAACAAAACACATGTCAGATGTACTCCGGTGTTTCGCTCGCTTCGCTCGCACTTATTCACATTGTGGAAAGACACTTTGCCTTTTCAAAACGGTTCGGTTTGGGCGTCGCGCGCAACATGGACGTCTCAGCAGTACAGTTGAACTCGTCTCGTCCTGCAGTTGATTTCTGTCCAAACGGCACTGTCAGAGGCTTTCAAAAACGCTTGTTTCAAGCAATTTCAAATCGCGGACTTGGGAGGTCAAGAGGAGCTTTTCACGGAGAAGACGCGCTTCCTGACCATTGTTCAAAGCACTTCTAAACGATGGAGTGTTGGAAGATTTGCCGGATTCCTTGGCCATTGTTTCAAGCTGCTTTTTTCATCATCTTCAAAGATGTTTGAAAGCCACTGGAACGCACCTCTTTTTGCTTTTCAGCAACCGAATCTGAGCATCGAGGTCGTGCCAGGAAAGGGGGCCTGGGGGTCCTAGTTTAGGGGGTCCATTTGGCCCGCAAAATTAACTACACCCCTCCAGCCCCCCACAGTACGTGCGCAAGATGTGCAGGGTATGCGGTCACGCAACCCGTAAGAGGCGCGAGCACGTCTACGTCAACACCCCTGAGACGTGTGAGCGAGGTAGAACGAAGAGCACCTCTGTCTGCTGCGTCTTCATCGATGACTCGGTGTAAAACCCTTACTTTTACCCTTATTAGACCCCTGGTAAGAACCCTTACCATAACCTGCAGTCGGGCGACCGTGCTGCGCAGAATGGACTCCAGGTGTAGTGCTCCACACTGACATTGACGAACATGTCACCATATCTCAGGAGAAGTGACTCGAGCAGTGGGACAACTTCTTCGCATTTCGTTCAGCCAAGCTTCTCCTTTTGGTCGAGGGGGTGGGGACGAGGAGCATGACGATGATGCGCCGAACAACGGGTGCCCCGCAAAGGACCCCGAGTTCGAGGACTACGAAGTTGATGAGGCCGAGGCCGTCGCCCTTAATTCCCTGGAAGAGCTAGACGCCGAGCTTCCCAGTCTGGTCATGCAATCCAGCTTCAGCTGGCGACCTACGCAGCTTTCGGGAAGGCGAAGGGGAAGAAAGGCCAAGAGCAAGGGGAAGGTAGTGCGTTCCTCCCTTACGCGTCGCATGCAGTTGCCAGCGGTGGGTTTGGCAGTTTCTTGGCTCCACCTTTCGGCTTGGGTTGCGGCGTAGGTTGTCTTCGAAATACCTAACAACGCCATGATTTCAGTATCAAGCGTCTCCCCACACCAAGGGGACACTGTTCGAGTGTTTGCAGCCACAAGGGCAATGTGCTTTTTGCCCTTAGATTCACTGCTGGTGCTGTGCGTGTGCGTGTGTGCGTGTGTGCGTGTGTGCGTGTGTGCGTTTGTTCGACCACCTCTCTGGGCCCGGCAAATCCCAGGCTCGGATTGCCCGGAGCGTTGAACTCTGCACCGGAGCCCCGATGACGCATGTGAAGGGGCAAAAAAGGCTCCGAGGGACCGTTTCCGTAGGCCAGAGAGACCCAGGTCGACACTCACTCACTCACTCGTTCAGCCAAGCCTAAGGCACTAAAACCAGCAAAACCATCGAAAACCACCAGGTTTTCAGCTATGGTGATCAAAGCCCACTTTCAAAGAAAACATTTTGAGTCGTCACGATCCCAAGCCTGGTTCAAGGTGCGAATCACCCGTGCAGCCAATCCTTCAGACATGTTGTGGGAAAACTTCTCAGTGCGAGGGCCAAGTCGAGGAAGAGTTCGACAGAACCACATCAAAAGTGATGTTTGTGAGATGATATAGGATGATTTAATTTTCATCATATTTAAGACTGAAGATATTTCCGCGATCTCAGAAATGGCGATTTTTTGGCGAAGCTTTTTTCCATCACGCTTTTCAGTTTGAGAACATCTTACAACTGGCTTTATGCGTATGTGTCTGCGGGATGGCTCAGCATTGGTGTCTGCTGCAAGTTGATGACAAAGACATCACGGACATCTGTCAGATCTGACAACAGTTGATAGCTTCAAAAGTTGACGCAATGGATAAAATCCAAGGCAGTGAACAAAGAGCATCAAACGCTTCACACCAAACAGAAAAAATCAACATCGTCACATCCTCCAAGCTCGCCATGCCCAGGGATGAGATCATACGGAACATCCGAGTGCTTGATCACCCTGAAGCTGACGATGAGGAGAAGAGCCAGGCAGCGCAACTTTTGGCCAGCTTCGCTCAGGGTGGCGAATGGATCCAGTCGGAGATCGCGGAAGAAGGTGGCTTGATGCCCTTGGTGGCCCTGCTGGAGGGGGGCCCCGAATCGAAAAGCAAGGCGGCCTTTGCGTTGCGCTGCTTGGCCAAGGACAATGACAAAGTGGGGATGGCCATTGTAGCTTGTGGTGGTCGCGAAGGACTGGAGGCCTTGGCCAACTGTAAGGGTACTGATGATGGGAAGGATCATGCTCTGGAAGCTTTGAAGTTGTTGCCTGCAGAGTTTTCGGAACCACCCAAGAAGGACTTGGACAAGATGCGAAAGCAAATCGAAGAACTTGACAGCAGGACCAGTGACCGAAACAAGGGGAAGGCTGCGAAGGCTTTGGGAGACTTGGCACAGCAAGGTGCTCCGACCCAGCAGGCTATTGAGGCTGCTGGTGCCCTTGAGCCTCTGGTAGATCTTCTGAGTTGGGGCGATCATTTTGCGAAGATGAATGCTGCCTATGCATTGCGCTGGTTGGCCTTCAACAACCTCCGGGTGAGTTGGGCCATGGTGGTGTGTGGTGCCCGGGAACCGCTGCAGAAGTTGGAAAATGCAGAAGGGGCTGATGACGAGGTCAGGGACGGGAGGATAAACGCTGGGGCAGCTTTGAAGTGCTTGCCTGCATGTTCGGAGGATGACTTGTACCAGATCCGCATGAAGGTCCAAGTGCTGAGAGACCCCAACAGCAGTGAAAACCAGATGTCGGACGCGGCCATGGATTTGGGAGACTTGGCGCTGCACGGTGCTCCAACACAGCTGGCCATTGAGGCCGCCAAAGCTTTGCCCCTCTTGGTGGCGATGCTCTACGAGAGCAAGCGTCAAAGTGCTGCTGTTTTCGCTTTACGTTGGTTGGCCACGAACAATCTCCGGGTCGCCAAAGCCATTGTGGCCTGCGGTGCCCGGGAACCGCTGACAAACTTGTTGCGCGGTGATGGCGACGCCCAGGAGACCTTGAAGTTGTTGCCTGACGATCCAAAAAAGGCTGAGCCAAAGGCGGAGCCAAAGGTTGAGCCAAAGGCTGAGCCAAAGACATCTGGTGAGTTCAATCTCAAACAACTGAAGTCTGAAATGAAGGCTTTAGAGACTGGAAGCAAAACAGTTCAATGCAAAGCTGCAGAACAGCTGGGAAGTTGGGCAGCCATGTCAGATGAGAAGCGAGCTGCGATCAACAAGGCTGGTGGATGCGAAGCTCTGGTGGCATTGGTGGTCTACGGCAGTGAGGATGCCAAATGGCACGCTGCCAGGGCCCTCCGAAATCTGGCCAACCATGCTGAGGCCAAAGAGAATATCTTGAAAGCTGATGGCATTGCAATACTGACCCCCATTGCGAAGCATGGCAAGGGCAAAGCAAAAGAAGCAGCCAGTGAAGCTTTGAACTTGCTCTCTTTGCTTGATTCCGAAGCCAAGCCGCCAGCAGAACCAGCCGCAACTTCCATCCCAAGTGGTGCGGGAACGAGAGTGGCGATGTTTTCTGCCAGGTTCGATGGAGGACCCATTGAAAAGAAGCTTGGTTCTTTTTTGGTTTCATTTTAGCTTTCTATTGTTCTTTCTCTGTTTGACAACAAATGTGGTCCCTGAGTCCGAACTCTGAACATTTTTCTGAGGAAATTCCGCCAAGTCTTCAAGATTCTTCGGGACCACCACTACGACGTCTTGATGGTCGCTGCTGATGCTGGAGAGAGTTTTGGTGATTTGACCACCCAATATCTTGGGCGACTGAAGAGAGAGGAGGGCACCATGTTAGCAGTTTGCACCAAGAATTACGGTGAGATGACAGACTCCGCCTACTCGGCACATAAGGAGCTGAAATTTGCCTTGGACTATGAGAAGTTTGTGAAAGTTTTGCCACTGAAAGTGGAAGAGACATACCCACCAGAGCCAGCCGGTGGTCCAAAGCACAAGCATGACAAGGATTTTTTAGCCCAAAGCTACATCCTCAGTGTCTTCAAGCCCTGCGTGGTGTACCTTGATTGTCAAGGCAAATCCGAGAGAGACATTGCGGCTGAGATTGCCAACTACTTGCAAAAGTATCCAGCGGACACATAGGGGCCCCCAAAGTAGCAACATGACGGTCGACTCAGATTGAACATGGGGCCACTCTTTTTGTCCAATGTTTCACGTCATGTTAATGTGTCTCACCTGAAGTGATCAAAAGTCGCCAACGTCGGAAAAAACACCAAGAATGACCAACCAGCAATTGGGCTTTCAGCTTTTTACGCAATTCTCATACCAGGCTATACCTTAAGCTGCTTCATTCATTGAGGCCTCTCACCAGACATGCGCCACTAGTTGCGGGGGAAGACTTATGCCTTTCTAGCATCTAAATCCCTGAAGAGCCCAAACCCTGCACCCTCGAGGTCCCTGAGACAGGTGCAAAGAAGCCGCTGAAGCGTTTTAGGCTCAGGGCTTATGGCCTTACAAACCCCAAACCCCAAACCCCAAACCCCAAACCCCAAACCCCAAACCCCAAACCCCAAACCCCAAACCCCAAACCCCAGACCCCAAACCCCAAACCCCAAACCCCAGACCCCAAACCCCAAACCCCAAACCCCAAACCCCAAACCCAAAGCCCTAAACCCTAAACCCTAAACCTTGCGCCCGACTGCTGGCTCCACTAGCAGCGCGGCCCCAGAAGCCCGGCCATCAGCCGCATGAACTCGGTGGGCGTTGGTGGATTTAGGGTTTAGGGTTTAGGGTTTGGGGTTTAGGCCTTGGGGCTCGAGGTTTTGTAGTGGAGGGCGTGTAGGGTTTAGACAGGGTTGAAGGGGCATTTGAAGGCTTTAAGGCTGGCTCACGGTGCTTTTGGGACTTGAGGGTTTGAGCGCTGAAGGCTTTCACCTTTAGGGCTTCAGGGAGGGTTTAGGGTATTTTGGGGTTGAGGGTCTATCAAGGTCGAGGGTTGAAGGGTTGAAGACTTTAAGGTTCAGGTTCAGTGTTTAGGGTTTGGGGTTTTTCGGCTTTGGGGTTTAGGGTTTTCGGCTTTAAGGTGTGAAGGCTGCGGCTGGGGCTTCAGGGTTTAACATGACAGAGGCTTGCTGTAAGCTCTGCCAAACTGCAAACCCTAGAGCATAGACCCAAAAACCCTGTATCCGAAACCGGCATGTTTCCTCAGATGCTCCTCCTCTGACGATGTGCACATAGGGGCTTTTTGCAAAGTGAGGGCCTCACCCCCTGGCCCGGCCCATTTGGAGGTACCTCCCATCATGGGTAAGCCTCCAGGGGCATGCCATCGAGCTTTTTGCCTTGTCTGTGGACCAGATCAACCTTCCTCTGTCTGGGGATTACCTTCCACCTGGCCCTTTCCTCCACCTGTGTCACCTCCTTCAGCAGCCATGTTCTGTCTGGCGTTATTTGTCGGAGGACCTGAACCCAAAACAACACTCTGACTCGGCAATAACTCTATCAGCATGAAAAGCCCTAAACCCTCAAACCCTAAAAGACGTTAAGCACCAAACCCTAACCCCCAAAACGCCCACACCCGCAAACTACCCAAACCTCCTAAACTCCTAAACCCCAAACTCCTGAAACCCTAAACCCTAAGCTCGAAACTCTAAACCCCGAAACTCCCACACTCCCTACAGCCTACCCTTACCCGAAACCCTTTTCCCTAAATCTTAAACCTTAAACCATATTCCGAAACCTAAGCTCTAAACCTAAACCCTTGAAGGTCGCCTGCTTCAGCTCAAGGGAGAGTCCCAACACCCGAAAGGCCTGCACCCGACTGCATGAGAGGCTGGGCGTTTGAAGTACGCATGTACAGGTAGTGCAAGATTTCGTCCATCCACCGAAGGTCTACACTCAACAAGTCAATGCTGCCAAAATGCTGGAAAATCAGCATTTTGCTGTTCTAGACAATTAAGAAGCTAGAAAAAACTGTATTTCCTGTAAAAGCAACAAATGCATGCAAAAGGACAGTCAAAATGACAGTCAACACTCAGTCAACACTCAGTCAACACTACAGTCAACACTACAGTCAACACTGCCAAAATGCTGGAAAAACAGGACATTAAGAAGCTAAGAGACTTATTTTCCTTCAAGACGACTGAATTGTGGAATCTGCTGGTTGTTCCAGGGTTTTCGTAGTGTTGAATGTAGTGTTGACTGAGTGTTGACTGAGTGTTGCTGCTATTTTGCACGTATTTGAAGCACCTTGGGAGTTCGTATCATCCAAAAATAGGGGTACACCCTAAACCCTAAACCCTAAACCCTAAACCCGAACCTCCCTATTTTCAGAAGCCCCCTTATGAAGCACGTCGAAGATGAGGTCAGAAGTTTGGGGTTTAGCGGCTTAAAGTTGAGGGTTTGGGGCTTAGGGTTCGCGCGCATCTCCAACCAGCGCTGTCCCACCTCGGGCCAGACTCTCAGACCATGTGTTGTTTTGTTTCTGTGTTTATTACTTGTTTTTATCCGGGGGGAGTGGTTTTGGATTTGGGGTTCCGGGTTTTTCCTGAAGACAAAAGACGGAGGCCTAGCCCACGACCGAAACGAGGCTCAAACGAAACCCTTAAACCCATTGCTTCACCTTTGAACCTTCAAAACGCCCTCAAAACCCTCGACCCCTAAAACCTAAACCTCCTCAAAGCCCGAAAACCATAACCTCTAAGCTCCTCAAACCCCCAGAAACCCCTAAACCCTCAACTCTCCTTAAACCCTAAACCCATAATATCACCCTAAACTCTGAACTCTTTCCCCGTAAAAGCATCTTTAAGTCCCACCCCCAAACCCTAAACCCTAAACCCCAAACCCTAAACCCTATGGCCTCAGAAAGTGTTTTGGGTTAATTTACTTAAACTCAGCTTGTCAGCTGTTGAGACAGTAACTTGGAAAGTTCAGAATGAGACCACATACAATTTCTATTTATTTTGTCTTGAGGGTTTAGGGTTTAGGGTTTAGGGTTTGAGTTTAGGGTTTAGGGTCTGCTTAGGGTTTAGGATTTAGGGTTTAGGGTTTCGGGTTCAGGGTTTAAGGCGGGTTTAGGGTTCTTGGTTTGGGGTTCAGGGTTTAAGGTTCCTTGTGGAGGTTTGGAGTTTCAGGTTTTTGGGATGGGGTTTAGGGTTCAAGGTTCGGTTTAGGGTTCGTTGGGTTTGGGGCTGAAGGTTCGTGGGGTTTAGAGCTTAAGGTTCATGCTGGAGGTTTGGAGTTTTGAGGGTATTTGGGGTTTAGGGGTTGAGGGGGTTGAGGTTCAGACATTCGGGTCGGACGTGCCGAGGGTTGACGAGTTGTTTGGGCGCCGACCCACCCGGGGGTGTGGGAGGCGGGAGGGGGGCAAATTACGCGAAGGCACACACGTTTCCAACGCAGTCCAACAATGTTCATTGGTGCTTTGCTTTCCCCCCTGCTGTGAGCTTGCTGAACCCTCGTCCTGTGAAGTCAGCACGCACTTTGAATAGCAAGAAACTTCTACAGGCTGAAAGATGGCTGAAGTGCCAAGCAGCCGACCGGAACTCAAGAAAGAATTCCAGACAGAAAAGCTCCTGTGTGGAAGTTCTTCAACAGGTAGTGTGTGAGAAGTCACTGCAACATTTTGGCTCGAGAAAGAGAAGTGAAGGTGGAAGAAGATTAAAAGTGGAAAGGAAAATGGAGTTGTGTCACCGAGTGCACCACCGCGGGCACGGGTCCTGGATTACATGAAAGAAGTGAAGAAATGCTGAAGCCGGAAGGACCGAAGACGGAGTTTCGCGATACACCGGAGTTGGATTGCACTTTGATGTGAGGAATGAAAGTGACCGGCCACGTGAAGAGAAGTGTCCGAAGCAGACTCATGCCGCAAGCAGCGCAGTTGTTTGAAGCGTATTGTACCACCAATGCTCCAAGGGCGTAGCGGTTTGAGGGATCTACCCATGGAGCTTGAGAATACAGTGATTCAGGAGAAATGAGTGCAGGAGAGTGGTTTTACCTGACAGAGTTTTAATGGAAGAGAAGAAAAGAAGTTGCCGGGTGAGCGTGGTCTAGTGTAAGGAGGAGGTGTGTGAGTGTGACAGCGTAGCGTTAGAATTCTTTGTAGGAAACAGGAAATGGTTGCTCTCTTGTGATACCTGGACCATCTCACCTACTTCGGGGTGGTGGAGTGTCGTGTCACTGGAGGAGGTCAGTACATGCGAAAGCATGAAAAGCCGATTTGCGTGCGGGAAGTATGAGAGAAGCTCAAGTCTGCGACTCGGTCGGGCCCACAGCAAACAATCTTTTAAGCAGGGTGTTAAGTTCTGTAGGCAGAACCAACCTCTGACCAGTTTCACGCTAAGAGCCGAATGAACAGCGCTATTTCGGATTCAGTGGATGAAAGAGAATCTGTAGCAGTTTATTGTTTAACATGTCACCTGGGCGTACCTGCCTCTTGGCTGGATTGGAGATTGCACCGCGTACGGTAGCAGTGCAGATTTCCATTGGTGGCAGAGACAATGGTGATGGACTGGCTCTGGCCGAAGCCGAGAGCTGCTTGCCGGTGCAGAGCAGTCGGCTACCTGAACAGCTGTTACGACTGCTACGAGTACATCCAGTGACGGATTGTCGCAGTCTGTAGGACTTGTTGACAAAGGTGGTCGTGTGAGTGCTGCAAAGGAGAAACTAACGATCCATCCAGAACCATGCGCGATTCAGAAACTGGACGCGATTCAGGAAACCAGGGTTCAGGAAACCAGGATTCAGGAAACTGCGCGATTCAGGAAACCAGGATTCAGGAAACCACGCGATTCAGGAAACTGCGCGATTCAGGAAACTGTTTTCCCGCGATTCAGGAAACCGCGGTTCAGGAAACCACAAGATTCAGGAAACTGAAAACACGCGATTTCGGAAACCGCGCGATTCAGGAAACTGACAGCACGCGATTCAGGAAGCTGCGCGATTCAGGAAACTGCGCGATTCAGGAAACTGCGCGATTCAGGAAACCAGCGGATTCAGGAAACCACGCGATTCAGGAAACTGCTCGATTCAGGAAACTGCGCGATTCAGGAAACTGCACGATTCAGGAAACTGCGCGATTCAGGAAACCACGCGATTCAGGAAACCATGCGATTCAGGAAACCGCACGATTCGGGCCTGTTGAAATGTGGGGGGCTGCTTTGTGACACTAACCATTCAAGCGCATTGGGCTCCAGCAGCCCTTCAAGCAACAGCATTGGGCTCCAGCCTGTTGAAACTGGGTGTCGGGGGGGGGGATGATAGCGTCCAGAACAAGGCTGCTTTGTGACACTGACCATTCAAGCAACAGCATTGGGCTCCAGCAGCCATTCAAGCAACAGCATTGGGCTCCAGCCTGTTGAAACTGGGTCTCGGGGGGGGGGGGGATGATAGCGTCCAGCACAAGGCTGCTTTGTGACACTAACCATTCAAGCAACAGCATTGGGCTCCAGCAGCCATTCAAGCAACAGCATTGGGCTCCAGCCTGTTGAAACTGGGTCTCGGGGGGGGGGGGATGATAGCGTCCAGGACAAGGCTGCTTTGTGACACTAACCATTCAAGCAACAGCATTGGGCTCCAGCAGCCATTCAAGCAACAGCATTGGGCTCGAGCGTGTTGAAACTGGGTCTCGGGGGGGGGGGATGATAGCGTCCAGGATAAGGCTGCTTTGTGACACTAACCATTCAAGCAACAGCATTGGGCTCCAGCAGCCCTTCAAGCAACAGCATTGGGCTCCAGCCTGTTGAAACTGGGTCTCGGGGGGGGGGATGATAGCGTCCTGGACAAGGCTGCTTTGTGACACTAACTAACCATTCAAGCGCATTGGGCTCCAGCAGCCATTCAAGCACGCCTGGTTGGCTCCAGGCCTGTGAAATGGGTATCGCGGGGGGGGGGGGGGGTGATAGCGTCCAGGACAAGGATGCTTGTGACACTCTAACCATTCAAGCACCGATGGGCCCAGCAGCCATTCAAGCAACAGCATTGGGCTCCAGCCTTTGAAAACTGGGTCTCGGCGGGGGGGGGGATGGATAGCGTCCAGGACAGGCTGCTTTGTGACATAACCATTCAAGAGCATGGGCGCCAGCAGCCTTCAAGCACAGCATTGGGCTCCAGCCTGTTTGAAACGGGGTTGTCGAGGGGGGGCGGGGATGGGGGGGGGGGGGATGATAGCGTCCAGGACAAGGCTGCTTTGTGACACTAACCATTCAAGCAACAGCATTGGGCTCCAGCAGCCCTTCAAGCAACAGTATTGGGCTCCAGCCTGTCGAAACTGGGTGTCGGGGGGGATGATAGCGTCCAGGACAAGGCTGCTTTGTGACACTAACCATTCAAGCAACAGCATTGGGCTCCAGCAGCCATTCAAGCAACAGCATTGGGCTCCAGCCTGTTGAAACTGGGTGTCGGGGAGGGGGGGGGGGGTGGGGCATGATAGCGTCCAGGACAAGGCTGCTTTGTGACACTAACCATTCAAGCAACAGCATTGGGCCAGCATTGGGCTCCAGCCTGTTGAAACTGGGTCTCGCGGGGGGGGGGGGGAGATCGCGAGCTTTTAGCCATGAATCTGAGCCGAGAGACATGTGTCTACGACCGTTCTGATGAGGACCCCTGAACCAGCTCTGTCCGAATCCACGAATTCGGCTCCTGCCATCCGCAGTTTCCGAATCCGCGTTTTCCAGTTGCCTGAATCAGCTGGTTTCCGAATCCGCGTTTTCCAGTTGCCTGAATCAGCTGGTTTCCAATCCGCGTTTTCCAGTTGCCTGAATCAGCTGGTTTCCGAATCCGCGTTTTCCAGTTGCCTGAATCAGCTGGTTTCCGAATCCGCGTTTTCCAGGTTCCTGAATCAGCTGGTTTCCGAATCCGCGGTTTCCAGTTTCCTGAATCAGCTGGTTTCCGAATCCGCGTTTTCCAGTTTCCTGAATCAGCTGGTTTCCGAATCCGCGTTGTCCTGTTTCCTGAATCAGCTGGTTTCCGAATCCGCGTTTTCCAGTTTCCTGAATCAGCTGGTTTCCGAATCCGCCCTTTTCCAGTTTCCTGAATCAGCGGTTTCCAGTTTCCGAATCCGCGTTTTCCAGTTTCCTGAATCAGCTGGTTTCCGAATCCGCGTTGTCCTGTTTCCTGAATCAGCTGGTTTCCGAATCCGCGTTTTCCAGTTTCCTGAATCAGCTGGTTTCCGAATCCGCCTTTTCCAGTTTCCTGAATCAGCGGTTTCCAGTTTCCGAATCCGCGTTTTCCAGTTTCCTGAATCAGCTGGTTTCCGAATCCGCGTTTTCCAGGTTCCTGAATCAGCTGGTTTCTCGAATCCTGGTTTCCCGAATCCGCGTTTTCAGTTTCCGAATCCGCGTTTTGTAGTTTCCAGAATCAGGGTTTTCCAGTTTCCCAATCCGCGCGTTTCCAGTTTCCGAATCCGCGGCTGACCTTTAAGACTTCTCCACTGAGAGTTCCAACCGCCAGTGCAGGTCCGCCTGGCATCTCTGGCACCGCAGATGGTATTGCCAGCACTCTCCCGCTGATGCCTCTGAATTCCTGGTTCGATATAGGCCCTCGACCCCATGCGCCGGAAGGGAAGCATGAAACATCGCATAGGCCTCCCCGTTTTGAAGAGGTCCACGGCACTAGGTATCTCATGGTGGCAAGCCAGATGGGACACATGCTCCCGTCGATACAAATTTGTGTGTTTCGCTGAGGCCTAGCATCGTATCCATGGACAGCTCTCTCATGGAAGGTTGGGCACGTTGCAGCGCACTTGCCACTAAATGACGGTTGAACAGCGAAGTTTGCAGGTGAGACTTCTGGGTTGGGTTTGGGAATTAAGCTCTCTTTCGGTCAGGTTCTGACGACGTGGACGCAGAGCTACCTAGAGCAGAATCTCCCGCTGGTCCTGTTGAGATCCTCCCTCAAGGTGTCCGCCTTAAAGCGCAAGTCGCAAAACCAGCCTTACGAACCTTCAAACGCCTTGAGCCGTCGACGCCTTGCACACGTCGTGGGCAAAAACATCGTAAGGAAGTCGATTTGGAGAGCCCGTGCTGAGTGCCCTACCCTCAGTGACACGGAGCTTTGGAGATGATGTGGGCCTTCTTATGGGGCTTGATGATGGAGCTTAGGGTCGCTGCATGCGCTGCACGTTTCATGCGCCTTTAGTTTGTGTTGGCATTTAGTGGTTGTTGCGGTGATAGGCTATTTGGCTGAATCAGGGATCCTGCTGTGACGCAGGAATGGAACGAACATTTCTTCAAGTCGCTGGGTGTGAGTAGCAATTCTCTTTTTCGAACTTGCTCGATGTTGACTCGAGTCTTGCCTGTCCTGCCAAAGCCGTGGGCTCTTTCTTGTGCTGGATCCACGGGGGATCTGCCAGCTGCGACAACATGGGAGAATCTCGGCAGCATTGGGGGCTGAGTCCGAGAATGACATGGAACAATGAACAGCGTCCCATGCCACCATGATCCACCGTGCCACGGCAACCTCAGAAGGCCGACAGCTGTTGAGGCTAGCCACTCCGTCGAGCTGAATGCAGATGTTCCATGCCCGTCCCAACCAGGCACCAACTGCCTCATGGCTGAACGCCCAAGGTTGCGGGGGCTTTCGTTGGTTTCGAGGCATGTGCTCGGCGCACCTGCGACTGATAGAGCCAGCGTTCATGGCGATGTTCTCATGTGTCTGTCCTTGTCACTAGTTCAGTGTGACATATCAAATCATATCAAGCTGCATCGATTGTCCCAGGCATCGCGACTGAACCGCTCGATGTCCTGCCAACACCAGTGACCGCAGAAGAGGCTTACGAAGAGACCAAAGCTTTGATGAGGCAGGCAAGAGCGCGATTTCCTGGTGAAAGCACACTCGAAAGACATGTTTTCATACAGCAACGTCACGCAGCCATGAACGGACATGATGTTGCACTGTAAGCCTGCATGGTCTTCCAAGCTAGGCGTATGCCTGCCATTACAATTTCGGTCGGTAAATAGGTAGAACTCTGTGACATTTTACTTTGCACGTGTGGTTCGTGTTTGTTAGTCAGAGGTTGCCCTGGCGGGACATCCGATCAGGTACCCTTTGGACCCACTTACCGAGGGCATGTTGAAGCACTTCGAATGCAAAGACATCGACGACAAGACATTCGTTCTGAAGGCGATCAGACATGTGCAGAAACTGGCCTGTTGCGGAGGTGTGTGATCTTACGTCACATGTGACACATGTGTCAATGAAGAGCATGAGCCCCACGCTCCCTAAACCCCAGCATGTTCAGGGGCCAAGTAGCTGTTTGCCCGGCTTCACATGCTTCACCACTATTGTTCTGGGGTTGTTGCTCGTTCTTGCAAGGAGGAACGGTTTTGGGGTCCTCTCTTCCGGATGGTTCGGGTCCCTTTGCTTTCTTCATGTCTCCTCGATTTGCTCCATCACCTTCCCGCAGCTCCCTTAAGTTGTCCGAACGGGTGAGCCGCTGGGTCAGATTCTCGAGATGTAGGTGGTCACAGGCGCACAAAGTCCTGGAAACGAACTGCTGCGCACACTGTTTTCGGGTGAGTAGGGCAGCACTTGGCAATGCTGAAAACCTCGTCAACACCGATGTTTCGTGGATTCTGAGCACCCGAAAGTGCCAAATATGAGCTTTGTGACATACAAGAACGCACTACTTCCTCTTCAGCAAATGGCAATCCTCTGCCAGTGGCAGCTGGTACCTCCAAACAATAATACAGTACCAAGGAGCAAATGACAGTGTTCTGCTCAGTACGCTGCCCATCATCATTGTATTGCTTTCTCTTGTCTTCTTTTTGTTGTTTCCTTCCTTCTTCGGGTCCTTCTGTTGTTGGCTCCTTCTTCCTGACTTGAATGATTTTGATTTTTCAGTTTATGTCGATCTGTTTGTCTTTGTTTTGTCATTCATGTATTTCTTCCTGTCCTTCTTTCTGCTCATTGTTCCTTTATGTCGTTGTTCCAAATTCTCCGAAAATCCAGAAAACGACCAGGTTTTTATACGTGCCTGCTTCCATCTAGCTTTCCTTCTGGCTCACGGACCTTGAAATATCTTGGGTGCCTGCGGTCGGTCGTGGCAAAGTCGGGTCCAGTTTTTCTTAGGAACCCAAAGCCAAGCCGAACCAACCAGGACCCAAGACAAAACAAGTTTCCGCTTCACAATCCAACCCACACCTGAGAAAACAGAAGCCCCTCCATCGCACAGTCGCGGATCACTACTTTGAGTGCGCCAGTCAGAAGATGGTAGAAAGCAGCAGACATCATACCCAACACCGGAAACACGACATTTGTATGTGTTGTTGATCTTGATTATTCATTATTCAGTATTCTTGGTTTACGAACATGATCCCTGTAAGCAAGCTCGCAACTGAGCACGCATCGAGCAGACACATTCGCGGTTTTTCCACATGTCCTTTCGATGAAGAGCATACGACATCCCACCGTACTGGCATTTGCAGGGTTTCTTTCCACAAGCTATCCGAGGAACCTAGTGGCAGTGCCGCTCTTCGGTGGCTCTGGATTTTTTGTGAGGTTCCGCCTGGGGACGATGTCCTTCGTATTTGTCCAGAAAGTTCAGCAAGTTCTGTGCTGGGCAGAATCTTTTGGGTTGTTTCGTACCGGCACGTGGAAGCAGGAAAAGTTGTGTTGGACTGCGCTTGCATGGTTTTTATACTTGTGGATCCCGGCGCTTGTTCTCATTCTTTTTCTTCTCGATGCGCAGAAACAGCTTCTGGTGGAAACTCAAAATTACTCAAAACACAGTTAAACGGTGCTTTCTTACAACAGTACCAACCGATTGTCCAACCCAGACAGTCGCTAGATTTGAGTTTATCAAAGTGTCGGATGCTTTGCTTTTCTGCCAGATGGGGTCCTTCACGGCCGTTTTTTACGGCAATAATCGTCTGGCCCACCTGCTTCCCCAAGTGTGGAAACTTCCACAACCGCAGTCGCATTCTGTTTTTTGGGCCTTCGCTGGTGGATTTTCTTTTTGTTTGCTCGCATCCGGGCCCTGCTGCGGCCCTGCTTGGTTTTCAACCTTAGTTCCTCACGCCGAATGCCTTAGCCAGCTTTCTGCCCTTCTCATCGCTGTTCTTGCACAGGGACTTGCCGTCGACATAGGTTAGGCCCGTTAGGCCTGACATGACTCAGGATGCCCGTAGGAGTTCCCATCGCACAAGCCTCACAATCAGGCTTCGTTCTGAAAGTCGACTTTTCTTAGGTTTCAGAGGAGCCTGCCTTGCGGCCTCGCAGTCAGATCTGTTAGCTACTCGGGTCTTCCGTTCTTCTGTAGTACTGGCACTATTGATCGACGTGTGCAAGTGTGACGCTAACAAATGTTGCAGAGCACCCAGCTCCGACACTAAAACTGCTGGTCAGTAGAGTGAATCTCACCTCAAGGTGATCTTGGACGGCCAAAAGTTGGACAAGGTCGGATTCGGCAAAGGAGATGGCACGGACAGAATGAGGATGTGGAAGAAAGTGGTGTGCGATGATCCTGGGTTGCATTCGGGGTTGCACAAGTTGCATTGGCTGTCTAAACTCGTAGCATGTTCTGCATCTCCACATCTCATGCTTGTCATGCCAACTGTCGCAAGTGCCACTCGCCCTTCGCCCTTCGGTTCAAGGATGTTCAAGGATGTTCAAGGCCCAAAGGCCAAAACGGTTTTGCACTTTGCGGAGAGCGCACCAGCGGCGGCGGAAGTACGACATGAACCATGATGAACCCACGACAGTTCTGCACGTCCGAATGCGCGAAGTTGACCGCTGGGAAATGCTTATCCCCTTAGAAATGGTTTTGAAGGTACTGTCTGGCTTGTCGCATGTCAAACACGTAAGACTGTACATGCAATCATGCAGCCGTCCAAGGATGCTGGCTTAAAACTGGTGGTCGAGGACTACGTCTCAGAAGCCACTATGGGCTCGTGGGTGGATGAAGCTTCAGACAAGGAAGTTTGCAACACCTGCACGTTGCTCGTTGAGAAGTCACCGCCGCGACTTCTATTCATTTTTGATGACAAAGACGGCAAGCGAATGTCAGACGCGCCAGTGAGGGATGCACTATACCAATGGTCAGATATGATCGTTGGCGGCGTCCAGGCCTTCAAGAACTCCAAAGTGAAAGTGACAGGAGATGCAGACTCCAGCACGGACCCAGGCAAGAAAAGCATGCTGACTGGTCCGATGGATGACCATGTGACCTACGACAAGTTTTGGGCCCAGCACCTGAAGTATTGCAAGGACTTCGTCAGAAATGCGTTCGCCTTAGTTGGTGCTCCACTCTTTGTAAGTTCTGGGCTGGATCATGGGACGGGCAACATGTGCCGAGCATGGTTTTGTGCACGCAGCTGTCTCTTTACTGGTGCACCCAAGCTTACGCCCTGAGCATGAACCTTGCACACCCCTCCGACGCGACGACTTCTAAACCCGGCTCTGCGCGGCCGGAACCTGACCCGAGTTTTCAAGGGAGCGCTCGGGCGCTAGAAAGCCAATCGTGTTGTCGTGTCAAAATATCAGGGTCATGCCGGGCCAGTGACAAGGAAAGCTTCGACCATCGAAGTATCGAAGTAGACCCCGAAAGCCACATGCTCTGCATCCTGCGAAGGCGACGTAGGGCGGCAGTGTCTGAAAGCTACCGTGCATAGGACTCACCGGACCCTTGAAGCTTCAAATCCCAGCCCCGAGGAGCCAGTTTTCAGAAACAATGGGCTCCCCAAAGTTTTGAAACCTCCAAACTCGGTCTTTCAGACGGTCCTGGGCCCTGGGTCCTCGGTAGGCGTTGAGAACGCTCGTGTCCCTGGTCCCTAGCCCAGTTACCTGGAGCTCAATGCGAGGACATCTCTGAGGACGAGTGCCCCGGTTGTGATAAGTGATGCCCAGAGATGCAGTACCACGGTGACACGTGTCCATGTCACACTTGTGTCCAAGGTTCAAGGGGACCCTCGTTCTGGATCCTGCCAAGCCTACGGAGGCCCGCTTGGTTCAGAGGGCAGTTCCAGGCTTTGCAGAGCCAGGGATGCACTTCCTTTTTGCAACAGCTGCTGTCCTGGCCTTGTTGTCCGGCCTTGTTCACGCAAGACCACACTTGTTCAAGGTGTCAACACACACCGTTCGCGCCGCGAAGTCCGAAAGCAAGGCGGGGAGCAGACATCAGGACAGCCCTCAGAAGCGTTGCTGGAATGGTGTCTGTCCACCCCTGAGCAGGTCACGTGGACAATCGAGCACGACGGCAAGGCCACTGGCAGTCTTACAGCGCGTGCTGCAATGCGCGCGCAGAGAGTGGCAGAACCGAAAGCCGTTTCAAGTTTTTCTCTACGTCTGCACTCCGAAAGCTCCACCCAAACCCGAGAACGACGACGGAAGGTGATGACGGAGATGCATCGGATTGTCCATCAGTCACCCCTGGTTCTGGAGGCGTGGGTGTAGCAGGATGTCAGACATTTGCAGATCTTGCTGGGGCTCAGCTTGGAGGGTTTAGGGATAAGGGTTGACGACCTTAAACTCTAAACCCTGAAACCCTCGAGCCCTGCTCGAATTTGCTGTGGCATTGGCATGCTGGAATCGTGGCCGTCAAGTTTTGGGTGCAGGGCAGTTCAGCCTTTGAATCACCCGAAAAGATAAGCAACCTTAAGCAGACCCAAAACACGAAATCACACCAAAAAGCCCCCAAGATCCCTGAAACCCCCATCGCCACATTGATGACATGTGAACCTTCCTAAGCTCCCAGGGCTGGGACGTGGACTCCACGGGAGCCCGGATCGCAGGGAAGTCCAAAGCCAAGGAGTTGCAGAAAGCCGTCAACGAAATCATCGTCAAGGCCAGGGGAGAAGGGGAGAATGTCATTTAACCTCCTTAACCTCACTGAGCACCTTCGTCTCCTTGCCTCTTATGGAGCTTAGAGTACCAGGCCAACAGCTGGTTCGGCTGAGACTTGGCGCCCTTTTGGAAAGCTCAGGCGGGAAGGCAGAGCACGATAGAGTAACATTGCCTACAGTGCAAGGCATCGGGAAAGTTCGATCCCGGACTAGCCCCTACTACAAGCCCGGATTAGAAGGCGGTCGCAGTTTTCAACCCTTTCGGAAATGGCTTGCAAGGGCCCCGCGTTAGATGAAGCTTCAGTCGACTCCTCTTCCGTTCCCGCTCTCATATCCTCTCTCATCCTCTCTCATCCTATATCCTCTCTCATCCTATCCTCTCGCATCCTCCGCTCTCATCCTCTCTCATCCTCTCTCATCCTCTCTCATCCGCTCTCATCCTCTCTCATCCTCTCTCATCCGCTCTCATCCTCTCTCATCCTTTCTCATCCTCTCTCATCCGCTCTCATCCTCTCTCATCCTCTCTCATCCGCTCTCATCCTCTCTCATCCTCTCTCATCCTCTCTTGCTCTCTCGCCACAGTCGGCAACGCTCTATCAATCTTTACGGAGCATCAGAGCCCTTACCCCGCTTTGTAGGGGCGAGGGGGCTGAGAGAGCTGTGTGACACTTCTTCACAGCATTCGCGCCGGATCTGGACGATGTTTTTGCGACTTCACAGGTCGAAAAACAATCATTCCGTCACCTTGTTGCTTGTTCGTTTATTGACACTCCTGTAATGTTCAGGGCTTTTTTGTGGTCAGATCAGGCATCGATTTTGCCTGTTGGTCGGATCAGGGCTCCGGATTTCCTACTGGTCTCAGAAAAAACTTATCGGCCGGGCCTGTCAAAGGCGGGGTTGCTACAAGAAGTAGGCCCAGTTCGCCGTTCGTGGCGCGGCGGTTTGTAGAGTTCAGAAAGTCCAGTCGGCCGAATATTAGAAAGCACCACCATTGGAATGCATTCGCGCAGTTGCCTCCCGCAGAGCGCCCGGGCACAGAAGGTGCCTGCAATCGCTTCGCTTGGCAATCTGCCAAAGCTAAAGTAGCTAGAGTGCGTTTGCTTGGCAACCCTCTAGTGTTGTTCGCGATGATTCTTTGACTTTTGCCAGAGCTGGAAATCAGATCCTGGTGATCGCAATGCCGACCTCGAAGCAGAGCGCTTCCGACGTGTCAGGTCCAGTCAGCAAGGTCCCGTAGGAGGATCAAGCAGACATCGAGCACGGCAAAGCATGGAGCAAAAGGCTGTGCAGTTTTTCGGAGCCCGAGTGCCAGCAGAGTTTTCAGGATGTATGCAGCTTTGAGGGTGGCACATCAAGGCACATCACATAGTCTGACTCCGTGGATGCATCTTCTGTGGCACACAACGGCGCGGTTGCAGCACGCGTGAAGCATGCTATATTCAAGGGTTGATCTGCAGCAAGATTTGGACCGAGGTGCCTGCAGCTACTCCGCTTGTTCCCTTTGTCTTAAAGGGCCCCCCGCCGAGCTGCACCAAGGAGGACCCTCGACGAACCTTTGTGGACTGCTACCAGCTTTGCTTGACTTACGTAGGCTATTCCGTCGAAAGGTCCAGCATCTAGCGCGACAATGAAGAAGAACAAAAGTCTGAAGAATCACCAAGCTGGCGAGATGTTGTGGACATGTTGAAACCTCTGAAGGGTCACCGGTCATCATACTCTTAGAACTGCTTCTTCGGGTGTCCAGGACCGCGTGAAAGCGCTGAAGTATGCAGCTGTGGTGCCACCGTCTGCGAAAAAGGCCAGTAGCAGTCTGCGTTTAGGAACCTTTTTATGATCCGGGACCTTCGCCGGAACAATCGAACAGCAAAGGCTCGCGTAGGCCTGTTTCCACCTCCAAGCTGGCTTGTCTAACATGTCTAAGATGTCGTCAGTCGATGTCAGTCGTGCAGATTTATGGATCCAACAGACATTCCTCCCAGTCGCTGCACCGGGCGATCGCAGCGCTGCCAACGAGGCAGAGGGCACACCAAGCTTTTGCCTTCATCTACTTCCCAAACGCGGGTTTCCGTTATTACCTGATGAAAGGGTTTGCCTTGTATCAGCAGCGACTCTCCAGGGAAGTGCCAAAACAAGTGCGGATTGTTGAATAAAGGGCCGGAGCGCATCGGCAAAAACACTTCGTTCACGGCCTGCTGGTCACATATCGCCAGTCTTCAGCTCGAGGCCACGCCCTCGGGCCATCGATGGTGGGCAGGTCACGTGACAAGCCTGTCAATGAACAGAGCGTTAGCAAGTTTGTTTTTGGTTGTGCGCTTGTTCAAGAAGCTACCCTTACCAGAAAGGACTTCTACTCATTCTACTAGCTCAAGAAAAGGTATCCCCAGGCTGTGGTGATGCTGTTCGATGCTTCGCATGAGCGCGTATTCGGAGGATAGGTGAGACCTGGGTATTACCATTTGTCTGTAGTCCGGCTTTGTTTGCCGCATTTTCTGCCGACATTCAGTGCCCCCCTCTGCGTGCATGCGGAGCAAAACGGGTGCTCTAAAGACAGGGTGCCCTCAGTGTCTCACCTGCATTCGCAGACCGTCGGATCACTCGCGCCGGTCTTCGGGCTGCAAAACCGGATTTGGACTGCTGGATCGGGTTATATCGGGTTCGTGTTTCTTGGATTCTTCTTGCTCCGTGAAGGCTGTGTCTTGCTTGGTCGTAGAGCAGTGGCCAGACCTCTGCGGTTGTCTGTTCAAGCTCCACCAGGATATCAAGTGAGCAATGCCTCGACATAAACATTGAACACTGCTGCGAGCCTGTCAGGCCAGTCTCCTACAGTACCACCGTCGAAGCACTGCCGCTTCACATTGTCTATGCTTGTTGCAGATGGAAAGACCACCTAGTCGGCCATGCTTCGGCTTTCGAGATTTTTGTACGACCCTCGTCGGGACCTCAGCTGCGCCGAGCATTTTGAGGCTCGCAGTAGATTCACAGGACCACGGCCGCTGAGGTCGTGGCACCGTGATCATGTTCGGCAACCGCAAGGTCCGCTGCACCTAAGAAAAGTACTTGGCAATGGAGTTCGGTTCTTTGTGGGAGAAGTCTCGTGCAGAGGCACTTCTTTGTGTGTGATGTGTCTGCCTGTGTCTGCATGTTTCAAGCTTCCGCCTGCAGAGCTACGGCTTTATCGCCCCTGATGCTGGCGGCCCCGATATCTTTGTGCACAAGAGGCCAACGCAGAGCTTCAACGCAATTTCCTGAGACGGTTCCAGCCTGTTGTGACCTTTGGAAGCTTCTTGTCACTTCAACTTGTCAGGGATGTCCGCCGCGATGAACATGGAAGGTCCCGCAAGAGATTACCAGGTTAGCAGTGTGAGCACGGGACTGTCAGGCGAGTGGCCTTGAAGGAAGGCGAGCGCGTCGAGTTCGAGTTGCAGCCGGACTGAGCCCTTGTGTGCGATGGCTTTTGGATGCCTTGACCTCACGCTGTTTCCATTGAGCACGGTGTTTTACGGTGCTTGCAGGAACCCGGCAAGGATGGGCGGCCAGTAGCAGTAGATGTCGTTGCGGCGACCTCAGACTCGGCACTTTTGAAGACTCCTTGAAAGATGCGCTGAACAGTGTGCGTGAGCATGCCCTGTAATTGAGTATTCGACGTGATTTGCATGCAAAGATTCGGCACTCACATCCTTCGTGTTCGGACTCGGGGTTGGGCTTGGGCTTAGGCTTGTTTCAAGGGTGTCCTGCGTAGGTTCGAGGAACTTGGCATACACGGCAGCTTCTGTTGGAAGAACGATGACAGCAACCTCCACCACAACGGCTCCCGCAGTCACATGAGACAGCGTGGTTTGTGAGAGCCAACAAGAGGAACCCAGCCAATCCAACAGCTGCGATGGCAGCACATAGCAGGAATGTCAACAACAGCATTCTCATTACCGGCAGTACAAACAGTTTTAATGCTACGCGACCCGCCTCCCCGCCTCGGCCGGGGCGTGGGTCCCCTTCCAGGAATGCTAGCGTTTGGGAGGGTTGGGCCGGGGGGGGATGGGGCGGGGGTAAAGCAAGGTGGGTTTTAGCAGCACCGAAGAGGTGATGGGGTACACTGTTGTGCCGTCCCATACGGTCGGCCCCAAATTCCCCCTACTCCTGGCGAATCAGAATGGAGGTGGCGTACCTGCTTGACCCCCCCCAGACTCCTATGGCCAGGCCTCGCCGGATAAGACAGAAGCGAGGAAAAACAGCATCGATCACACATTGGCCAAGCAAACAATGTAAACACATAAATTCGGCAGGCAAGCCAGCAGGCAAAAGCTTCTAAAGCGTGCCAAGCCACGGGGCTTCTGGGGTGCTTGCGACTTGAGGTCATTCCTCCCTAGCGCAGAAGGCTTGGCGGCTGGAGTTGGATTTTTTCTGTGCGACATCAGCCCCTGCTAGTTGGAGCCCTTGGAGCCAGGTCTTCGTGCGGTGACCTCGCGACTGAAAAGGTGCATGCGATCATTGCGCAAGCTCCGCAGAGGCTGTGTGAGACAAGGCATCTCAAGCGTCTGAGTACGTTGTTGCATGTCATGTGCGACAGTTCGGACTGATCAGCTTCAGGAGGTGGTGCCCTGCTGCGAGCGCGGGCAGCTAGTTGGAGGAGCAAAGCAGAAAACAAGCTCTACAGGGTTCCAGATTTCTTCTGGCCTCCCTGCGAGCTATTGCGATCCCAGACTACGTTGCAGACCGCAGTGCGCTCGACCAGCATGAATCAGAAAAAAATCTTCGTTTGTGCGAAGTGCATGCTTTTGTCGGACATCAATGAAACCGTCATGGTCTCCGTGGTTTTAGCTGCTAGGCATCACTTGGAATCCATCTCGGACACACCTGAAATTCCGTGCCGTGTGATGAGTGACGTGCTCCCAGGGGTAGAAAGTTGATCTGGAAAGGCCTTCTACTCACGACGCGTGGCCCATGATCAGTTTCTACTCTAGTCAAGTAGGCCACACAGTGTCTTCTTCAGAAATTTCTGCCGGTACAGAACACACATGACTGTGAAATAGCAGTCGTATTCGCACTCGCCTCTTATGGAGCCCAGCCCTGAGCTTGACTAAAGTGTGCTGTCACGACTGTCACGGCATCAGAACTCGTCACGTTTGGTTCACCTGGGGCAGCTCAGGGCCTCGGTGCGCCGGGCTCGAGAGGAGGGCATTCCGGGAAGCATTCCGGCATGTTCCACGTGAATCTTACGGCAAAGACTGGAGCTTTTGGTTTACGGCTGTTTCCTGGCGAGGTCACCAAAGGGGGTGGTAGGGGCTTGAGGAATCTTGAGACGCCAGGAGCCGCTTGCATCGCCAAATAGTTCTCCACGCGCTCCAGAGGTGCGGCAGATTGCGGCAGCCAGTGTCACTGAGAGCGGAGTTGCGATGCGAGCCAGACGATGCCATACGATGCATAGGAAGCTTCCGCTGCGTTTCAGTGACACGGCAGCTGAAACAGCAGCAGAAGATGAACCTCTGAAGACTATGCACTTCTAAATTTTGAAAAGCCCCCCCCAGACTCTATGCCCTCTGAACTGTTGCCGCAGACCTTTCAGTCCTCGCACCTCGAGGCTGCGCAGGCCTTTGGAAACTTTGGAGCCACAGATGTTCTGCATTGGTAGGGCTGAGGGCCTTAGGGCGGCTCAGGGAGTTGGTGTTCTGGGTTCAGGGGGTGCCTTGGGGTCGGGAAAGATTTGCGAAGCTGGCGCAATGCGGGAGTCCCCCCACATGCCAGCGGAGGCCATTCAGAGACTGGTCTATGTGCGGGATGAGGCCTTGGAATGCCCTGCAACTCCAACTCAACGCAGCTTTGAGAGTATGGTATAGATTCATATTCATACTGGTAGGGTAGACTTGCAAGAACGACCTGGGCCTCGCAGAGTTTCAGGGTTTGCTGTAGGAGCCTCCACCGCTCTCAACGAGTTTGAGAGGTTGTACCAGCTCGGGAGAAGCTCATTGCTGCCCGTCGGACGAATGAGGCCAAGCTGTTGTTCGCAGTTTGGGGTTTGCTCTGAAAAATTTCAGCTTCTCAGGTCTTTCCTAGCTTTCAGGGGGGGCCCCTATGGGTCACACGTGGTCACGGGGGCTGCTTTTGAAGCATCAGACGAGAGTCTTGTCACTTTCCAGGCTGCAGGCTTCGAGGGCTTCGCGAGGTAGCTCGCTGGATCATCTGGGCAAGGTTCTACGGCCATAGTATGGTACGGTAGACTACCCAAGCTCAGGAGCAATCCAAGAAGTAGCAGAGCAAAGTAGCCACAGTCAAGGCCCATAGCCCCAAATCAAGGTTGAGCATCCATGTAGGGCAAACCTCAAACCCTCGAATCTTCAGCCGCATCACCTCAGCCTGATTGCAAAGACTCATGCCTTTTCTGGCAGGCTCTGGGCGAAGTCGGTCGCAGAAGGCTGCTGGGGTCCCGCTTTGCATACGTGAGCTGGGCTCCAGTTTGGAAGCCCTGGCAAAGATGCTTGGAGGTTTCGGCTTTTCGTGCTTTTCGCGGCACTGGCGTCTTCGGGATCTGGAGCAAACCCAACTTCTCTTTGATGCCATGTGTTTCCAAGCAGCGCATTGTAGCTCTGGCCGGGTGTCAGCCCCAAACCTTAATGCCAGTATACGAGCAGTTCACACTAAACCCACCCACCCACACACACACACACACTGGCACTCACGCACGCGCATGCGTTCGCGCACGCGCACGCGAACCCGCCAAGCCGTCTGCTTGACAAGCAAACCACTGCTCGAATCTGCTGCTTTCTAGGAATGGCACATAGACATGTATTTACGTTGATATTTTGACTTGAAGTGAAGACTGAAGACTGCTAAATTGAAGATGCCCTGGGAAGGCTTTCGTCAATTCACTTATCCGGATGTCTTTAGTCTTCAAGCTTCTTATTTCAAAAAACTCACAACATGTTTTTTCTCAAGATGATCTCCCCTACTTTGCCTTACCTGTTTTTGAAGAAGTATTGCCTTTTTTTTTTCAAAACCACCATATCCACTTCAAGCGCCACGGCCGTTGGAATCGAGGGCCCCCCCCCCGCATATCGGTCAAGAACAGCCGACCCTCCACAACTCTGCCCAGTCTGCTTCCTCGCTCCCAGCACGAGTCCACTGTCCGGCTCCACATTTGCGCCAGGTTCTAGCTCCATTCTCTCCCACGACCTCTGTAGGGTCCGCAGAACTATCAGTGTGAAGCGAACGAAAGTTACTTGTATGAAACTTGGGTTTGGAGGTAAAATGAGTCCGCTGCGTTTTTGTTGCTTTCTCTTTCACTTGACATGCAAATATGTCTTCCGCATCTTGAATCTATGCTCACTTGTGCCATAGTTATATGTGCTCGAAGTATTTCGACTATTTTGTCGTAGCAAAAGAGGCTTGCCATGGCAAGTTTTGTAGGGGATGAGGTGGGCTGGATGGGACACTCACCTTCGACGAGGAAGTAATTATGTAATAATTAATTAAATCATAATTAATTAATAAATAATTCATACTTAATGATAATTAATTAATAACGACAAAATGATTTAATAATTAAATAAATAATTAATCATAATATATTATAAATTAATTAGTCGTGGAAAATCGTGGAAATTAGTTAATAATAATTAATACTTAAATAATAATTAATAATTAATGAATAATGAATAATGAATTAATTAATAATTCATAATTAGTTCATATTTAATAATTAATTAATAATAAATCAATTGATAATTATTACGTAACCACTTAATAATTAACTAATCATCAATTAATAATTAATTAATACTATTAATGATGAATCATTAATGAATATTGAATGATAATTTATTAATAATTAATTAATAATTAATTATTTAATTATTTAAAAGTACTGAATTCAAGAATTAATTCATAATTGAAATATAATTAATTAATAATCAATTAATAATTAGTTAATAATTAATACTTAATTTATAATTCATTAAATAAGAATTAATCAATCATTAAATAGTAAATAATTAATACTTAGTTTTTATTATTTAATAACTAATTAATAAACAATTAATTGTTCATTGATAATTAATAATTAATAATTAAGCAGTTCATAATTAATGGGTTTAGGTTAGGGTTTACGGTTTAAGGATAAGGTTTAGGAAATTACGGTTTAAGGTTTCAAGGTTAGAATTTAAGGTTTCGATTTTAAGTTTTAAGGTTATCGCTACTGGCCAGCGAATTAATTGTTAATTATTTGTCAATGAATTAATTGAATTAATTATTAATTAACAATTAATTACTTCATGATTAATGAATGATTAATGAATTAATTAATATTAATAATTAATTCATAATTACTAATTAATCAACAAATTAATAAGTAATAAATGAGTTAACAAGTAATTAATAATCAAATTATAGTAAACCATAAAAAAACTATTAATCAATAATGAATTAATAATTCATTATTATTTCATTAAGACTTATATGCTGTTGCAAATCATGCTTAGGCTCCTCTGCCACCCCTAGGGGTTGCAGCAGGGCTATAGAGATGCCGAAAACTGGAAAACCAAACACAGCCAAAACCAACAAAAAACCAAAAACTGAAAAACCAAAAAAACCAAAACCAAAAAAACCAAAACCAAAAAAACCAAAACCAAAAAAACCAAAACCAAAAAAACCAAAACCAAAAAAACCAAAAATGAGGAACTTTTCGATGTAAGGGCTGATAATAAGCCACTTCCAGGAGTTCCCCAAAATTGTTTTTTTTGGTTTTTTTGGTTTTGTTGGTTTTGGTTTTTTTGGTTTTCCAGTTTTTGGTTTTTTTGTTGTGTGGGTATAATGAGTTCGCTGCGAGAAAGCAACAAAAACGCAGCGGGCTCATTTTACCCCCAAACCGAAACTTGTATGCTTGTATTTCAATGCCTCATACCGGGTTGCCTGTGGTTTTCAATGTACATGGCGAGGCTCTTTAAGCACTGGGATGTGTTGGTGCATCTAGAGTGGTGTTCTTTGACTGAACTGTTTTCGGAAGGATCAAAGAGAAGCCCGAAAATACGGCTACGTCCAACCTATGGGTAGGCCTCACCTCGGCCTATGGGTAGCCTACGTATAGGCCTACCTCGGGCCTAGGGTGGCTCCGCCCCATCTAATGTGTTGTGGGCGGAGCTATACCATGAGCTCTTTTTGGCTGAGGTTTAAGGTTTCGGGTTACTGCGAAGAAATACAACGCTGGGCACACGAGTAGGCCTGTGGGAAGCCTTACGGGTAGGCCTGTGGGTAACCTGCCTGTCGGCCCAGGGGGTAGGCCTGTGGGTAGCCCTATCCATGGGTGGGTAGCCTGCAGTCGGCCTACCTGTAGGCTACCCCGACCCCCTCGGTTCGGCTACCGTAGGCTCTGCGCGTAGGCCTTTGGTAGCCTATACGTTTGGGCTTCTTTACCACGGGGGAAAGGCTTGTGTGGGCATTTGCACCCAGAGTATGAAATGTACGGACAAACCTCGAAGCAACCGAAGCATGCAAGTCTGAAGGAATCTGCGAAGCAACCAAAGCATGCAAGTCTGACGGAGCTACGGTTTTCATCAACAAGACCGCACTGCAAGACAGCCCAACCCCATGCATTCCATGAAAGGGGTAGTGTGGAGGGACAACATAGCAGATGCCCTATAACCCTAAGTGCTACATGGGCTCCAGCCTGCAGGCCCCGACCTGCCAGTGCTTCGGAAGTGAGACAGCTGCCGAATGCAACGATGCGACTTTGAGTGCACTGGTCAAAGGGCTTTTGTGGTCCTTGTTCCGAGCTCCCAGCTATGTAGCCATTTGCTCACGCAGAGCTTCGTGTAGGCAACGGCGCTGTTTAAGTCAGACAGCCCAGACAGTGAACTGAAACGGCTGTGCGTGTGTATGCCCAGGGGTGCTTTCGCGCGACTTGGCTGAAACTGGTGTGGCTTAATTAGAATGTTGTCGCCGCAAGCTCTTGCCAAGACCGCAGTCGGATTGTCAGTTGTCGCTGATCTTTGCGCGAGCAGCCCGGAAAGGCCGCCACATATGCCCTCCACTGCAGAGCAGGCCGCTGTTCAGTCAGAGCATTTTCTGTGAGAGCTAGGAGGTTGGGTGTTGGTTCTTGCATGATATCAAGGTCGATTTGTTAAACTGTATGCTCTCCACAATGCTGTAAGGTAGTCTGACTGCGTCCTTGCTTGCCCTTTCCATATGCCCTCCGTTGCGGGTTCCAAGCAGGCTTTGTTTTTGCCCCTATGCCATTCAAAGTGAGCATCGCCATGATGCCCAGCTATGCCCAGCTACCCATCATTGCAGTGCTCGTGCCTTGCGAGAGGCCCCCTCAACCTTCAACCAAGACACCTTGATACTCGCAGGACGGCTTTCGCCCAAAGCCCATCTACTCATCGCCATCAGCAGGTGGTGGAAGGCTGTGCAGCCCATGCTTGCATAAAGTGCACCGGAAATGGAGACGAAAGAGTTCTTGCAGGATTGGCAAGGGCCACATGAGGCTGGCTTCTCAGTTTGGATCTGTCTCTCTGCCTTCCTGCCTGTGTGGGCGGATGTTGGGCGTGTGTGCGTGTTCGCCGTGTCCTCGACATTTAGCTGGTCGCAGTGGCAGCAACTGTACCAGGTAACCTGCGGTGCTCGCCTCAACCCCTGATGTTTTGTGCAACACAGGGCTATGCCGACGCTGGGTGCGAAGCGCCTCGCCAAGGATGACAGCATTTGCAGAGCAATGCCCCTGCTTATATAGTTGGTTTTGCAACATCTTGCAAAGCAGCTTCCCTTGGCAGAGTTGGCAGGAGCTGAGTGCCGGTCGTCGCATGGAGGAGCAGCTGAAAGAGCCGGAGAGGACCCAGGACAGCCTGAGCCTCGTGAGCCTCTCTCATGTAAGGAGCATATTGAACCGGAGCATATCTTTTTGAGAAGCGAATCGAAATTGCACTTATTTTGATAACACTTGCAGGAGCAGAGAATGGAGTTTGTGAAGGCCCTCCGGATCCGTCCTCTGCCAAGACCTGGGACCATGGCACGCCGAACTCCTGTTTGCCTCCACCACTGCATTGCTGCTTTAGGATCGCCAGCTGAACGCCGCTTTGGCCACACAACTTGTACCTTGCATTTGTCACCTCACATAGTAATGGCCTGACCAATCCCGGCCATGCATGAGTTTTTGGCACCCAGAACCCACGTGCCACAAGCTCACAAGCTGCATCTGCCCCGCTGCTCCGAAACTCTTCAAACAAGCCAGAGCCTCAAACGTTCACAGCTCCCTCAGGTGTTGCGCAAGAGAAGCTCGTGGAGAGCCAGCGCCGTGAAGAGCAGGCATTGCGCTGGAGGCGGACAGCGGTTTTTTTGTGCAAGGGAGAAGCGCCCCACTCAATTGTCAGTTATCTAGAGTTTTGCAAGGGAGTTCTGGAGATCTTGACCCAGAGAGAAAAACGTGAGGTCCATTGGCTGTTTTTGCCTGTTTGACGTGCGTGCAGCTTTCGTGCAGGAGCTGGCTCAAACCTTGTGAAGATATGACTGCTGATGGGGATAGTTAGTTGGCTTGTTTATCGTAGGTGCAAGGCATGTGCCTTCCACACAGCTTTGTAAATAGGAAGTGCCCGAAGAGCATTACCTCAGGCAAGATCAGGCAGGCACAGCGTGAGGTGTAGCAAGCCACGTGTGCCTTCTGCCAAGAGTGGCGAGAAGGCGCGGTTATGCTTGTTGCACGGATAGATGGGCTTGTGTGTGTGTGTGTGTGTGTGTGTGTGTGTGTGTCCCAAGACACTCTCTTGGTTTGTACTTTGCTAGCTGAAGGCATGGCCGAGCTACGGGAGGCTGCATGCTTACAACATGATTTGCACGACACATTAACAGGCATTTGTGTCACACGGCACTTTGGCCTGTGAGCTTGCGAGGGTGCGTGCGGTCGTCTCCTGAACCAGAAGGAAGCCATTGCGGTTGATGAGGCCCGGCCCACGTAGCCCACGCATCCCACGCGTCGGGTCTTGGGGGGGGGGGTGAAGCACAGGGCAGCACAGACTTAGCTTCCGCTTCTTGAGGAGCTTATGGCCAGCCCTGGCTTCAGCGTGGACCAACTTATGGAGTTGGCAGGACCTCACCGAGTTCTATAGAGAATTGAGAGGCTTCGCGGCGAGTTTTGGGGCAGCTTTCAGCTCTTGTGGAAGGCGAATTCTAATATTTTTTTTGCCGCTGTCCATATTTGGTTTAAGATGGCCTCAGGATATTCTTAGTCGTGCTGATGTCTGCCCGTCGCTCAAGCAGCATGAGCCACGTTCATGGACCGTTCAGTTAACTCCTCCAGTCCATTGGGGCAGCAGTAGTGGCTTCTCAACTGCCAGGTAACAACTCTTAAGCACAGTGTGAGGCAACGGGACAAAGGCTAAGACCGGCTTAGACCAGAGGCTTCTTAGCCCTGGCCCGCGCCTCCTTTGCACTTTTGCACCCGCAGCATGCCTGGCACTGGCGCTGGCGCTGAGCGAGATGCGCTCGATGCGCCGCCAAGGCAGCTTCGGATCGGAGGCCCGGGTTTTGAAAGCCAACCAGGTCATCTCATCTCACCCCAAATCGAACACAACTTCACTACGCGAGGCTCACGAGTTCTGCTTGCTAGGATGTTTTGTGGGCCCAGCTGAGAGATCTCGAGCAGATCCGGCTCAGCTTCCGCCTTAGCTATCTGTATGCCAGCCTCAAGTGCAGGGCCTGCTGCCCACTGCATCCCACGATCCAGCTCTCAAGAGTGTGAGGGGGACATGGCGAATCTGGTTGCTCGATGTGTTTCGCTCCAAGTACATCCTGTCACTGAGGAGTCGATTATGCAGTCCGCACCACGCGGGCTGGCTCCTAAGTGGTTGTGCTACGGCACAGCTTTTGCCCGGGAGAGGGCTTCGAGTTCTCAAAAACATGATGGGTTCACCCTGTCGCAGAAGCTGAACAAGACGGGCCCGTTTCTCAGGTGAAGGCTGCATCCCTGCTGTGTGCGGCGCTCGGATCCAGTGAGGAGGTCACCAAGAGCGGAATCTCCCAGAGCTAAGGGAAGCTTAGGTTGCGGCTCGTCGCTGGGTCTGCTGGGCTTCGTGATAGCAGGTGGGTTGGCGATGCTCAGTATGACATGGATTATCTGAACAAGTCGGCATACTATGCACACAGACCCAGTTTGCAGCCATAGTGCTTGTGGTGCCCTCTTCCAATAGTACTGCCATTATATGACTGCAAGTAAGCATGCCCCTGTCAATCGTATGACTATGAAGTGTTTTGGCTTTTACGACATCGAGGTTGCAAGGTAAGGTTACTGGCCTCCCTTGACTTCTTTCATCGCAGGTGGAATGGGTTTGGGCAAGGTCTTCATGCCGGATGCCCAGTTGCAGCGCCATTGAGTTCACGATTCGTGAGCGCGAACTAGGTCGGAGTAGGAACTGTGTTGGAACTGTGATGGAACTGTGATTCCGAGTCGGTGTTCGTCTGACCAAGATCGAGGGAGAGGTCAGGAGTACAGCTTCCGCAGTGCAACCAAGGGCAGACCACGAGGTGAACGTGCGGGGCGAAAGCTTCGCCTCAGGTGCGAGCATCAAGTAGGTTAGTTTCTCATGTGATCTCTTCTCTCAGTGGGTACTGGGGGCTGTAGAAAGTTTCTTGGCTAGCAGAATTCCGAGTATGAGCACCGAGTTAGGCGAGCCCGCGCTAGAATTCAACATGTGCTGCTGCTACAGGTTGAATCAGCCTGAAACTAACACAACTTCGGCAGGCCATAACTACTACCCCTCCACAGTCAGCGAGATGGTGAGAGATCGCGAAAGCTAGGAGCCAAGTCCAGGGCTGCCACGGACACTGGTTTAGGATTTAGGGTTTGGGTTTAGGGTTTAGGGTTTAGGGTTTAGGGTTTAGGGTTTAGGGTTTAGGGTTTAGGGTTTAGGGTTTAGGGTTTAGGGTTTAAAGTTTAGGGTTTAGGGTTTAGGGTTTAGGGTTTAGGGTTTGCTGTGATAGGGCGTAGCGGCGTAGATGCTGTGAAGGTTAGGTTTCGGAACAAGCTCGAAAGCTTCGTGAGGTGCGAAGAGCAGCTTTGGCCCGATTGTGGAGGGCCATCTGACACTTTTCTCCCACCCCACACCGTCCAAAGCGGCAAAGCCACCCAAACCTATTTCTTTTAGGGTTTTTTCCTAACCTCAGACAACAGTCCACTTCTAAAAACTTAATTCAGTTTCATGACGTTCGCTGGGTCCGAGAGTCAAAGGAATCCGGGGTCGAGTTTCAGGGAGGGTCGCAGACATTAATGGTCGGGGGAGGGTCAGGGCCAAGAGGGGTCAGACCCAAAAAAATAAATCTTTGCGCACCCGCCCTGCCTGAGCCGGCCTGAAGCCACCTGTCGCTGCGGCGAAGGGTCCGGGTTCTCCTGGGCTGAGGCCCTGGGGGTACCCCCCCCTGAAAAGGGTCTAGGATTGGGACTTACTTTATTACAGGGACCAGTACTGGTCCCGAGGAGAACGTGTTCGGGCGAGCGACCTGGGTCGGCTTGCGCCGAAAGGGCTTAAGCGCCGCGCCCCAACGTAGGGAGGCGGCCTAGGCCCTGAGTTTAGGGTTTAGGGTTTAGGGTCTAGGGTTTAGGGTTTAGGGTTTCTTGTGCCACTGCTCCATACTATACCAAGGTCCTATGGGCAAATGCTTCTATGGATTTACCAGCGCTGGGGCTTTTGCCATTTGGATGTCCTGGTATCCCTGGCATCTGCAAAACGTGTACCTCCCGGCTCAGGACTGGAATTATAGGCCTCCGTACATTCGCCGATGTACATTTTTATACATTTCGAGCCAATGCAAGTGTTTGAAGGTCTGCAACGTCTGCCGTTTCTGTTTTCTTTCTGACTGACCTGGCAGGATGATGCTGTGTGCGGGTGCAGCGTCATGACCCTTCGTACACTGGTGCGACTCCCAGCCTTTGCAGCATCGGGCCGTTCCAAAGGCTAAGGCAGGCGTAGCGGAAGCTCGCATCCGTTGCCTGCTTGTGGGGCTTGGTGCGAAAACGGTCCTTGTCACCCCCACGCAAGTTCGACAGGATGGACCAGGTTGCAGTCCCCCGCAATAAGTAAATCTGTCAGCGCCGTCCTCTGCCCCATCAGCCCCAATCAAACACGTTGCGAGATTTGGCCAGAAGCACGTACATCTCAGAGAGCTCCTACCCTGCAATTGCCCACCGCCGCAGGCGGTTGCATGAAAGCACGACTCGTGGAGCACAGCGGAGCCTTGCAAGGTGCCACCCATCTCCATGCTGCTGGTGTCCATCATCACTGTGGTGCCCTTCAGAGAGGCGCTGTGCGTGACTGTGGCAGAGGGCAAATGCCGCAAGCAACAGCATTGCATCGCCCTTGGTCCCTTGGGCGTGGCAGGCAGACTCCATAGAAGCTGCCAGCACCGTAATCCATGCCATGGCCCAGGGCTGAGAAGAATGTTGTGCTTGAGAGGCCGAAGCCAGGTTATGGTTCAGCCTGCTGCTTTTGCGCACTCTACCCTCGGCTCTTGTAGTCTCTCTGTGCTAGCAGAGACGGCAATGATCGCCCAGTCTGTCCAGGCAGCAACGCTCGCCATGGGCGGCTACTGCGCCAGTGGCCCAGAGAGAAGAGGCGGATTTGTTCTAAGGAAGGGGTTTGCTTGGGGTTGCCAGGATCAATCCTCACAGGAAGACTGCACGGGTCAGAGTGGAGAGCTACGTCTCAGGTATGTTTCTGCTGAGAAGTTTCTGTCGACATATCCTAAGGTGCTGGAGTGGTACACACTGAACATCGCCAAGGATGTGAGGTGTTGTTCTGCAAGCGGATGGCAAAGTCGCAAATCTCAAAAGGCTCTGAAGCCTGTTCAGGATGAGTCAGCGTGAGCGGCAGCTGCGGCAGCTGCTCAACTTACTGCTGGGATTCTGCACCTTTGGTCCGCTCCTCGATGTGATGTATCACGGGAAAGAAACTCCTGAGAGTTGTTCCCCCCCCCCCCCCCCGCTTCGTTTGAGAGTAAGGACTGGTTGTGACCGGTGTGGTTGCGCAGCCTGAGCCCCGGCACCCCCCACGGGCCAAGACCGTGTGAAATCTCACTGTCGAGATGCTCGGAAGGGCGTATGGTCACCCTTCAGAGCTGTTGCTAAGGCATCCCGAGCGATTCGGCGTCTGCTGCGGGGACCAGTACATCATCCCGAATGTGTCCAGCTCATCCGGGCTTGCTGGCAACATGAAAGTGGACCAGGTGTTACAAGAATGTTTGTGTATTGGCAAACATTGTGAGCAACTGCAGGTCACTGACATTGTCGCATCGTACAACCGCGGTGCGAGCCTGACGAAAGGGGTTTCTCTTTCGAGCCCTGAGCCGTGAATGCCAATACACCTGGCGCGCGTTCTCGTCCGCTTCTGGCTGTGGAAGCAGAAGCTGCTTTGAAAGTGGAGCTTTTCTTACAGCGAAATCTGAGAGCACACAGTTGCTGAGGTGCCTACCAACAGGGAACGCGGAATGAGCTTCTCGGACTTGAACTGGAATCCCGCAGCTTTGAACTTCAGACTTCAACTTTAGGCCTGCGGTTGTGAGTGCCAGGTTCTTAGTGCAGCACCACAAGGCGGGGGTAAAGGGCCGCATGCAATGAGACCGAACCTGGAGTGTTCGAGGTTGGGCTGGTGGACACTGCCCATGGTCTGGCCAAATGCTCAGCTTGTTACGTACGTTTGATGCAGTGATGATGGAATTGATGGAGAGCGATGGTCTAGCCGACGGTGCTGGTAAGGCTTTGGCTTTCAAGCTGGGCATGTTCTGGTTCGAGGCCGGGAGGCGGTGACCAATTGCGTCAAGTGTAGTGTCCTCAACATTGGGAATATCTTGGGTTGCCGAGCGTAGTGATGCCGCTCAACATTCCGTTTGCTGCGCTGGCATTGGGAAGTGGACTGACCTTCCGTCCAGTTGTCGTTTGCTGTAGGTCTCAGCCGGCCTGCTGCTACTCACCAGCCACTTCGTGATCTGGCTTTATTGCCCGGAGCGCCACCTGAGAATCCGGGAAACCACGGCTTGTTACAATTCTGGGAGGGGTGCCGGGAAGCCATGCTCAAAACCCAAATGCCGCCCCAGCTTGTTGTGTCCTCTCTGCCAGGGATTTGAAGGAGGGTACCTCGATCGCCAGCTCCCCCGGAGCGATCCCTCCTCAGATGGCGAGGCGCGGGCAGCGGCAAATGATGGGGGGCTCCCCAGTAGATCCTCTGCAGTTGAGAAACGAAGCTACCAACGCAAAGAGATGTCGGTCAGGAAGACCTCGATGCCGATGATGATGACGTCCAGCCCTCTCAGGGCCAGGAAGCATCCGTCCAGAGTCCAGATGTTTAGCACTGGCCCAAGATGCCCACCCCAACCCCCCCGGCTCCGAGGTTTCCAATGCGTCGGTGTGATGAAGCGCACGCCGGCACCAAAAGAGGGTGGGTGCCAAGGGAATTCTCAGCCCAAAGCCCCTAGACCACCTAATTAGATCCTCAAGCCCTTCAGCCTGTAACCCCCAACAGCCAGAGCTCGAAAGATTGGACTTCAAACGGCCCTGGATAGGTTGAAACCTTCTTTTGACGGGTCCGCCAGTTCGCCTGTTCTGCAGACCAGTAACTGTCCACCCGTCAGAGCACATGTGAGGCGCTTTAGTTGTAGCGTTAGGCTATGTTATGTACATGTACCGGAGCTCAGTTTTTCAGTGTTATGCAGAATCCACGCACCAACATGTCTTCGCAGAATCTGCACTCTAAAGGTTTTCCAGTATGTCCAGCCTGGCTGCCATGTATGCTCGCGGCCGTCCCACGGCTGTGCTGGCCAGAAAGTGCAAAGGGGCTGAAGCAGCTGGAAACCACTACCAGCACCCTGACTTCTAATCTGTAATGCAACACTGGCTGCGCATGCACGAGCTCCAGCATAAGTTCAGTCTGAGATGAACTTGGGGCTCTGAAGTGAATCCAGCTCATGTAAGCCTACTGAGAAGCTGCTCTGCACTCCCCCAAGGCAGTCTCTTGAAAAGAAGCCCACTGCAACGTTGGGCCGAGGGCAGCGTGCCTTGCCTTCGGATCTATTTTCTGTTTTTGGTGACGTCTATGACTATGCGTCATGAAGCAGTCAGAACTATTTCCGAGGGTAGCCGCTATTTCAGGGTCAGGAGATGTCATTGCGTCAGTTGCGCCGGTGGTTCCTCTCGCTGGCCATGGCAGCTTGACCCAGGACCTTAAACCCTAGGCACCAAACCTTGTCATTGGCGACAGGAATGGCAGCGAGCGGTACCTCGGGTGCAATGAGGATGTTCTCTCACACAGGTCCTGGCTTCTGCTTGGGCTTCAGTGTTCAGCATTTTACTGTTGGATCTTGCCGTTAATAAACAACAGTCCTCTGCAAAGCCAGTTGCCAGTGCATGTGCTGCCAAAAAGCCGTGGATATAGCACGCATCTGTCTCCGAAGTTGTGCCAAGACGACACGATTTGATTGAGGTGCACTCGCTCGAAGAGGCCTCGGCTCATGGAGAGCCAGTCAGAGTTCTTCAGGCTCGGCACCCCTCGGCTGATTCCAAGATTCAAGCTCCCACGTTGCTGCAACGTGTGCTCGTTATGCTGAGTGTTCCCTCCCCTAAGCTCCCTCCCCAGGCTTCCCTCCCCCCTTTGGGGCCCTCTGTACCCTGTTGGGATCCCTTTGGGATCCCTTGGGGTGGGCAGGCCAAGACCTCGAAGCTCCTGGCATCGCTGAGGAGCGCTTCGCAGTGGCGTGTCGCCGTGGGCCTGTTCGAAGGCGGGAAGGAGTTTTGGGCTTCGGGTTTGGGGTTTAGGGTTTAGGGTTTGGGGTTTTGGGGCTCTAGGGGTTCTTGTGTTGCGGGGCAGCCCGGACAGTTCAGATTCGGACGGAGCTGCGTGACAACCTGACTGAGGCCTGCCGGCGGTCAACATCCCTCGAAGCCCTGGAATCTATTCAGCGATGATGAGCATTCTGGCCTCTCGCCATCTTTGGCAAGATGCGTTGGCCGTCCTTCGTGATGCAGAGTTAGAAAGCACCCAAGTCGGACCTGCATTGCCAGCACCTCCTCTTGATGCTGCCGTTTACAATGCTGTGATAACAACATGTGCCCGAGCATCGCGCTGGCAGTGGTCTCTGTTTCTATTGGCGTACCTGCGAGAGGCAGGAAGTGACACCCCAGTTCCCAATGTGATAAGCTTCAATGCGGCCATCCATGCCTGTGAGCGGCGTGGTTTGTGGGAGCAGGGGCTTCTCTTGCTGGAGAGCCTTTCCGAGGTAGCTCGAGTCCAGTCCTCCTCTCTGAACTGTGCCATAAGTGCCTGTGAGAAAGGGCAGCAGTGGCAAGCGGCCCTGTTCTTGCTAAGCCGCTTCGGCGCGTATGGGTGTCAACGCAGCCTGCTGACCTATGGGGCCGCATCCGCTGCTTGTGCCGTCAGCCAGTGCTGGGAGACAGCCCTGGAGCTTCTCGCTGACATGAGGCAGATGGTCATAAAACCAAGCCGGGAGATGGTGAACTGCCTTGTGGAGGTCTGCAGGCGGAGCTGGGCATGGCAGCAGGGTCTCGACTTAGTCGCTCAGAGCTGCAAGGGTTTGGGCTCCTTCCGACAACGTGCGGCCCTCTTGCAGGCCTTGGAGGCCAGCCAGGTCTATGTCGAGTGCCTGCGAAAGCCAAAGGGCATTCCAACTGCCAGTGTCGTCATGCGGACTACATCGCCCCTCGAGCTGCGACAAGCCGCCCTCTCCAACGAGCACTTTGTGTGGCAAAATTCCAGACCTGCAATCGTTGCTTCTGCTGAATGGCTTTCCCTTGCGAGTGTTCTAGCCACAGATTGCATTCGCCAGTCGTTGGAGCAGCAGAACGGATTCGGAAGCCGCTGGCGGACGAAGCCGCCGAACGACAGAGATTCTTTGCAATCCAGCAGCGTCTCTATCGTTTATGCTAACAGAAGAGGAAAAAGGAAGCTTTCGCTGTCGTGTGCTGGGTGGACATACTTGATGCCCAGTAATGTTGGGTAGGCTCGTGGATATAGGCCGGACCTAGCGACCTCTCGAAGCCACAACACGCGTGTAGCACAACGGCTCGAACCAATAGCAACGAAGATATAATACTTCATCACTTTGCTTCGGCCCAGCAGCGATTTGTCTACACGGGGTTGCAGCACCATCTTCTCGCGGTCTCATTAGGGTACGGCGCGGTTTCAATAGGAATCGCTTGTCGCCTGAACATACATCCAGACCTCCAACCCGAAGCTAAACCCCTGAAACCTGAAGCTTGCCAGCTATCTTGAGAGGGTTCATCTTGGGGGCGAAAACGCGACTTAGGAGTTGACGTGCTTTGGGCCAGAGCCCAGTGCCCATCCTGGGCCAACTCTGAACCCCAAAGCTCCCGCAATCACCACAACCCTCCAACCGGAATTTTCTGTTCTAAAACGCTTAAAACCTCCTGGTATCTCTTAGTCTTGTGTTTCGGTCGAAGGGCTTTGGTGCGTTTCAGTTTTTTGAGGGGCTGGGGGGTGTGAGCAAAGCTACAGGGGCCCGCTCTCATGTTTGTTGCATCCTATTGAGGACTCTCTGTGGCCTGTGCCGTGGCCACTTCATTTCCGCTTGCACAGTGCGCAGCCTTGAGCAGCTTTCGCTACCCCGACAAACCTTTGTAACGAACCATTTTGGGCTTTTGCCGTGGCCGTGCATCAAGAAGCTTTGCTTGCAAGGCTCTGTTTGTAAACCGCCTCTGTTCACATCGCAGATAGCTGGAGGTACTCGGAAAAGCCTCAAGTGCTGCTAATTTGCGGTCCAGGCAACAACGGTGGAGCTGCTTGCTGGCAGATTTGTGTGCACTTCCTGACCTCAATTACTGCGAGCGATGCCCGCCCAGTCCTAGTGCTGAAAGCCCCCCAGGATGGCTTGGTCGCTGCAAGGCATCTTCATCACTTCGGCACCTGGCTGAGATGTGATCCTCAGGCCTCAGGCCTTGTGCTCAGCAAGGTTGAGCAAACAACAATGGCACATCTGGTGACTTAGGGCATCCTCCTTCTGTCTCCTGGAAGATATTCATAGCTTGATAGCTTGCGAGTGTGCTCTTGCAAGGCTACAGCCCTCGCGTGGTCTACCCAAAGCCGAATCAGAAACAGCAGCTTTTCGTCTGGTGCTTGGTGAGGGGACTTCTGAGCAAAGCATCTTCACTCAGTTGACAGCTCTGCCACTACATGATACAAGTCCGATTTCAATGGGAATGCCTGGAGATGGAGCTGGGTCGGTGCAGCTGCTGCATGAGGGGCATTGAGTGGGTCAGGTTGGCTGTGATGTTCAAAGGCTGGCTTCACCACAACGCTGTTCGATGTTTGGGGAATTCGCAGATGCCGGCTTCATACCCTGCACGAGTTCCACCAGTCGACAAAACCTCTTCGACATGAACGTGGGCTGCAAGGTTGAACCCGAACACAAAGCCCCAAGCTGGACCAGGGCTCGTGAAGTGCCGTCTTGTGAAGGAGGTCATCTGAGAGCAGCGGTAAAGGAAGGGGTCCCCTTGATCCTGAAGCGGCCGAAGCAGCATTGTTCTAGGCGCAACCGATGGAAAGCTCAAAGCGGGAACCAAGACCGACAAGACCGACATACAGGGGCCTTCTGGCCAGCGCGGCCGAGGCCCCCTTCTAGGGGGCCGGGGTGCAGAAGAGGAAGAGGAAGAAGAAGGAGAATAAGAAGAAGGATAAGAGAAACCAAAAAGGGGCGCACCTCCGTGAAGGGCCTTCGGGAAGGGGTGTTGCAACCACGGAAAGGAACAAAGCGCATTCAAGCCACCAGTCTTCTCGAACCGACTCTCGGACACCCTGGCACACGGGCGTGTGACTTGTGTAAGTGTGGGTGGGGAAACCGCTTCTTCCCCATACCTGCTGAGAACGTCTGCCAAGGTCAACTTGGTGACACAGCTGTCGCAGCTGTCGGTGGCTCATGGTTGCATTGCTTTAGCGGTGTTCATGCTGTTTCAAGCCCAGCACGAAAAGCACCAGTGCTCAGCGAATCTATGATTCACGTGATTCATGTGTCGCAGCTACATGCAGCTACTTCATGCTGGCCTGGTCTTCGCTTGTAGGTGCCCGTGGATGCAACTCTGCCAGAGTCCATGGAGGGATACTGCTCAGTGGTGGATGCCATCGCGCTGCCAGCCTGATTTGCCATGCCTACCTCACTCTCTTGAAGTCTGTGCTGTCCGGGCCATGACGTGCTGACCAGTACAGAGCTTGCAAATGCGTAGCAAGACCGTGAGCAGTGAATTTCCTGTGCGGAGTACTGCGGGAATGGGCACATCATGCTCCCGCAACAGTTTGGCTTCTCCTTCAGCGGCGCTGTCCGAGCGCCGTTCGACGACATTCTGAGGCTGGCTGGATCCGGCAGGGGCATGTCGGCATCCGGAGCTTACAGACAGGTGGTACAGTGGTACAGCCCAAACCCCAAGTCAATCATCGTTCACCGGACTGCGCCTCACTCACTTGATTGTATTTTCCAAACCAGAAGAAGGCTCACTCCGTTGACGAATCCTAGGAGGGCCAACATGCCCCCAAGAAGCCATACGTGAACAAACCAAAATGGTAGCCACGAGTTATGATGAGTTGGCTTCAAATCACAAGGAGACTAACAGCGCCTGGCACTCCACCTGTCTGACGCTCAGGAGATGAAATGAGCACTCTTTCATGATCAAGTGCCGGTTGATATCTTGTTATCTTGTTTGAGCACAGGCTCTGACATGCCACTGTCATTGTCAGGTGCTCTCGGTGGACATTCCATCCGGCTGGGATGTGGAGCAGGGCCCTCCCACTGAGGGCGCCTGCTTGCAGCCAAGTGCGCCTCTCCAGGGATGCCTTTGTCATTTGGGTGTCAAAGTTATGATCCCTTTGAGGTTCCCTAAATATTAGGTGCCATAGTATATTAGGGATCCAAAAAGGGACCATCATTTTGACAGCCACCCATTTGGGACCTGTTGGAATGATGTGAACATCTTCCGAGCAGTTGCTCGGGTAGCTGGTTGCCGGATGCAGCTGGATTCTCAAGCGTGCAGAACGTTTTTGTGGAGGGTACAAACCATACAAACCCGCAGAACAGAACAGGACTCGCAAGAATTCAAATTCTGAAGCTACTTTTGCAAAGCCCTGAATTGCACAAGATACGGCAGCTTGAGGTTTACGTGGGATCAATAACTTTGTCGGCGCGATGCTTGCCAAAGCGCAAGCATGTCAGAGTCGGATGGCTTTCCCGGGGATCCATCAGCGGAGAGACGGCTCTTTTTTGCTGCTCTTTTTGCTCATGGTTCCGCTCGAGTCTTGTCCAAAGTGGCATCTGCACCGATTGAGCGCGTGAAAGTCTGCCTGCAGGTAGGAAGTCTACCAGCAGGGCCTGTCTATGCTCCCTTCCAAGAGCCTGGAAGCAAGCAGCTCTTGCATTTCACGCAGCCCTTCCATGACATCGTCCGTATGCAGGGTTATCGCGGGCTTTGGCGTGGCTGCGCGACGCATGTGACAGCCACATGCTTGGGCGGAGTCGCTCGCCTAAGTGCCCTGCGCACGACCCAGATGTGGGTCATGCCGGGTGGTGATCGCCACTACCAAGGGTTTGAAGGTTACATTCGCCGCTGCTCATTTTTGTTCATGTCGGGTGCGGGCGCTCTTGCACTGGTGTACCCTCTGGATGTCGCCTACACGTGCTTGGCTGCGGACAGCGAGAGCCGACGACGTTTCCGGGGAATCTTCCACTTCTTCCGAGAAGCTGCGCGCGAACACGGCTTGCTCAGCCTCTACCGCGGTCTGCCCCTGGGGCTCCTGACAGCCTTTCCTTTCATCTGCATTGCGACGGGCTTGCATGCCGCTGGGAATGGTTTCAAATCCAGGGCATCGGGGTGGGAGTTGCCAGAGCTTTGTGCCTCTTGCTTTTGGGGGATCTTGTGAGCTTCGTCTTGCCACGGCCGGCCCCAATTTTTGTTTGTCTTCCTTCCGTGCTGAGGACCTTTTGGCCCCGTGGCTCATGAAGCGCATGGGCCACCGGCCAAGTGTAGACCACAACGCGCCCCAGCCGGGAGAGCTTCGGCGTGATGGAGAGCATGTTCTTGGCTTTCTAATGGTTCAGGCTTTGTTGGATCGAGGGGTCGAAAGGGGGGTTTGGCATCCTTCGAGGTATCCTCGGTAGGCCATTTGGGCTCAGGACTTGTTCTGGCTGGTGCGGACTGGTGCGCCAGCTCACCTGTACCCTTGGCACACCTGGCGACCTTGACACATGTGGGAGCTGATTTTTGCAGACAGTCCCTGCGGATTGGCCAGGAATCTGGTTGTTGGGGCCGCCTCGGGTCTGATAGCTCAAGCTGCCGAGCCCTCAAGGCCCCAAGTCGAAGTCATGGTTCTAAACGGCCGACAGCCTGAGGCCACCTATCCCTTGGACACGCTGCGTCGAAGGCTCGCGCTGTCGCTTTGTTAGGCTCGGAAACGGCCTCCATGGGTCCGTCTCTGCCATTTGTTTGTATTCCGGGGAGATGCAGTGGATTGTTAGCGCTTCGTGCGTCCCGCTTCCACCGGTCGTCTTGACAAACGCTGAAAGATATGTTTTACAAGGGAGTCTGACCGGACATATGAAAACCTGACTCGGAGCCTTTCAACTCTTTGACAGAGGTGGATTGCCCTTAGAACCCTGAACCTAGAGCTGCAAGTCTTCCGAATCCCTGAAATGGGTGCGAAGAAAATGCAACTCCCGAGCAGCACCCGAAGCAGAGCACCCATCAGGGTTGTTAGCGGGCTCGGATTGGAGCACAGGAGTCCTTGTCCGCTTCTGACCCTTCCCGGAGGTGGCAGCAAACCTGCGCCGGCGGGGGCCTGGGCTCTTCTTTCTTGCCGCTTTCGGTTGGAGGGGTCATTGACTGCTGTTTGCAGTGCAGGCTGTCCTAAACGGTGAAACTGTATGGACTGCGCATATTTTCAACTCTTATACATCCCTCAGCCATACACCCCCGGAGTTTGGAAGGTCCGCGACGGGCAGCCCCCGCGTCCTTGCGAGAGTGCTCTTTGCTCAGCCATGCATGCTCATCTGTGTTGCAAAACTCTCGCCCGATCCTTTCACTGCAAGAGCTTGGGACCATCGTAGCCTCGAAGGCGCCCGTCGCTTGTACAGCGAACGCTCCCAGCTAAGCATGCTCTACCAGAACTGCGAGGGCTATGAAGCAGTGCAAAGCCCAGGTCGCCTTGCAGGTTTCTATGCCGGAGTTGGATTGAATTGCGTGAAGGTGCTGCCAGAGATTGCTGTGCGCACCCCAGAGTTGTGTGTGTGTGGGTGGGTGTGCGCACGTGTCCTGCGAGCATCGCAGACGGGCAAAGCGTGGTTCTCGAGAAAGTTGTAGTTTTGGAGCATCGCGACATTTGTTCGCATCTCGTGGATGTCTCGTCGCTTCTTTGTGTGACTTCGTAGCATTTCATAGCATCTGGCAGTACTTATCAAGTGGCTTCTTGAGATGTCCTGCGACATCCGTGTATTCACAGGTGCTTAGCGGCGTGTACTTCCTTATCAACGCTTCGGGAAACTTCCTGGTGGCTCAGCTGCATCGCGAGATTCACGCAATCCGAGACTTTGCGTGTTGACTACCCGTACTGACCACGCAGCCCAGGCCTGACCTGGAAGGTCTTTGCGGGATTCCGGGATGCTGTTGCGCGGCACGTTTGATCTGCCAACTTGCGAGTCATGTCGCCAGCACCTGCCTGGGAGTTCAAGGGCATCCTATCGTGCTCTCAACACTCTGGTGCCATCGGTTCACATGGGAAAAAGACAGACTTTGGGTTTGTTGTCAATGTCTGGGGCAGCAGGTGTTTTTTTCAGGCCAACCAAGTGATGAGCATGAACACTGCGCCGTCGCAGGTATCCTCATCTCACTGACGGCCCCAAAGATGTGTGCCGCACACTTTACTGGCAAACACTTCCTGGGTGGCCGTTTCGGCAGGGCGCTTACGAAGCACAATGGCTTCTTTAGCAGGGGCTGTGTCTTTGGACGGTCAAATTGAAAAAACAAGTTGGCAGCTCTGTAGGGGGCAAGCGGTCTGCCCAGTTCCACCATCCATCGTCGAGAAGTATGCGCTGCGACTGCCGGCATATCCAGGGATGAGCCAGGCTCGGGCTGACAAGAACTATCAAGAACTCCTGCAAACTTCTTCAGAGATGATTTTTGGTGGTTGTGACGGTGGTTTTCGTGGTAGTGCTGGTGGTTCTCATGGGTTAGTGGCCAAGGTTGGTCGTGGTTGCCGCGCTGGCACGAGCAGCCTGTGTAGTGCTATGCGTGCTGTACCACTGCTTGGGTCAGATCGTGGAGCTCCCCGCGAAGTTCTGAAGCCGCAAGAGCTGGGACATGCTGGACGAGATAAGATAAAATTCGCGTTTTTTTTGCTTGTTTGTTGTTTTGGTGGAGATGCGGGGTACGGCGATACGAGCACTCGGCTGCTAGAGCTGGAGGCTTTTCTTGCGCTGGGGCTTCCTTCAGTTCAGTGCACCACGAGCTATCCACGAATAAAGCCTGCATGACTTGTAGAACTTCAGGGTTCAGGATGGCAGTGCCTGGATCTGTCCGGTGTTGAACTGCTGGCCGCCTCCAATGCTGCCTTTATTCGGAGTCTGGGACACCCCTACCTTTATGTATGTCGGTCGCCGCGGTTGCTGCAGGCAGCAACAGGAGACCCTCCAGCACGAGGAGGGCACCGGGGAAGAGAAGCGCCACACGCAGGCGTTGCACTGACTTGCCCTTTGAGTGCCGAGTTGGTAAAGAGGTGGGGTAGCTGCGGGTTTCTGCAGTTGCGATCAGTTGCGTACTTTCTTCACAGCTAGTCATCTTCCTGCAAGACCTGGCTCCTGGAATTCGACGTCAAGTCCAAGTTCTCGTGGCTTGGCATTGAGGGTGAGGTGATGACATGTAGAGTGCTGTGAAGTTGGGATTTGGTAGCGTGGCCCCGGCCTTTTCCTTTCATTCGCCCGTGCACAGGGACATGTAGAGTTCTCTCATTTTGAGGGGTTGCTGGCGTACTATGTTCGTAGGCTCATGAAATAGGAACCGCCCGTCTGAGAGACAGACCTTGACTCTGTGCTGTAGAATCGCATCTTTTTCAGCATCTCTGCCTGATTGGCCGGCAGCTGTCTGCAGGTACTCAGCTCACCGCGAGCTGATGGCCCATGACAACGGAGCTGGCGAGATCGAAGAGTACGTCGAGGAGGTTGGGCATGGAGAAGTGTGAATGTGCACTCGGTCGTGCAGGGCTTGTGCAAGGGAGATCAAGCAACACCGTAGGGCAAGAGCTTCTGAAAGCACACTGCTTCCTGTGCCAGATGCCGCCGGCGACCGACCCGGTAAAGCGTTTAGGCAAGATCGCGGTTGTGAAATTGCGCTTGTGCACGTATGCCTTGCAAGTTCTGCTGCTTGACGTAGTGACTACGTCAGGTTGAGCTTTGCAGGGATTTCAGAGTGAAGCGTAGCCGATTCCATTGCCAGGTGGCATCGTGAAGGTGGAGGAAAGCTCCAGGTCGTTCTCCTCAAGCACTCGCATCCTTACTTTCTGTAATACTGTCTGTAACTTGCTCGGTATGGATATTTCGGTATGCTCTCCAGGATGAAGTAACCTCTCGAAAGACTACGGACACTCCCAAAGGCTTCAAAGGGCGACTTTATCTTCCAACTGCTTCTCGTCACCAAGCCCGGGTTCCTAAACAGCTCCCTCCCCCCTCAGCACCCCCGGCATCCCCAACAAAAAGCCCCAAAACCCTAAACTTCCTAAAGCCCAAAACTTCCTAAAACTTGAGCCCTTTGACCAAGAGCCGCCTTTCTCCCACGGCCAGGCCACCCTCCTCGGCCTCAACGGCCTTTGACTCGCGACCCGGCTCTGCGGCGAGGCCTAAACCCTAAACCCTAAACCCCAAACCCTAAACCCTAAACCCTAAACCCTAAACCCTAAACCCCAAACCCCAAACCCTCAAAACCCTAAAAAACCCGTAAAAACCCTAAACACCCTAAACCCTAAACCCTAAACCCTAGGAAGGGCAGCTAGGAGTTTGGGGGTAGGCGCGCCTGTGCGGGCTCGCCTTTCATCTTTTCAACTGAGCTCCCGGGACCTCTTGCTGGGACAAAACGCGTGGTGAGGCCCGGCTCGGCCATGTCTTGGGACACCGGAAACCGGCCCCAATCTGCGAGGCCAGGCCCTCAGCCCTTGAGGCTCTTGTGGTTTAGGGTTTAGGGTTTTAGGGTTTTAGGGTTTTAGGGTTTTAGGGTTTTAGGGTTTTAGGGTTTTTAGGGTTTTAGGGTTTTTGGGGTTTTAGGGTTTTTAGGGTTTTTAGGGTTTTAGGGTTTTAGGGTTTTAGGGTTTCTAGAGTTTCAGGGTTTAGGGTTTTGGGGTTTTAGGGTTTTAGGGTTTTTAGGGTTTTAGGGTTTAGGGTTCATGGTATTCAGTTTGTCAGAGTCGGAGTCTTGTTAGCACACCTTCGGTGCAGGCTCCTCTCCAGATGCTCTCTCACAAGGTGTTCTTACAAATGCACAGCCGACCTGCAGGCGACCATACCCGCCTCTCTCCAGGCCGATGCAATCCAGGCCATTTCCAGCGGCAGTAAGGTGGTATCGATGCTGGATTTCAGGAATCTTTGGGGGCACTTTCTTGATGCGGGGTCCACTTCTCGATGAGACTCTGGTACTTGTACGATCATGTCAAATAGATCGTGTTGCAAATTTGAACGTAGGCAGGCGAGTCTGCAATGTTTTCAAAAGTCTCTGCAACATTTTCTGCCCCACTTTGGCTTTGGCTATGGCTCAGTGCAAGGTTCCCATTCCAAAGAGCTGTCGCGCGCAAGGCCCAATTCAGCTGTGCCGCGAACCTCGCGGCCATCCTCGGCCAGGTCAGCCTCGGAGTCTTCAGAGCATTCAGAGCATTCAGAGTCAGAGCATTCTGTGGTTCGAGGTTTGGGATCAAGATGAACATACGTGAGCATTGCAAGGGTGCAGAGGTCGTGTGAGATTCGAAGGCTTGAGTAGAGAAGCGCATGAAAAGATGCGGGGCTTTGGTGGCGGAGGCCGCAATCGACCTTGCCGGCTGTCTCGCCGAGTGTAGTCAGCCATGCACCCGGGCTGAGGGGTTTTTGGTGTGCTCCACTGTGCGACCATGGCGCAGACGACCCACATAAGGTGAGGATGCTGACACCCCGCAGCCAAGGCCAAGCTCAGCATTCGACCAGACCACAGTATGAAGAATTCTGCCGAGCCAATGGCTTCTAAATGAAAGTAAAGACTGACCAACAGATTGAACAACGGGCGGCAGGCTGCAACAAGTTGAAGAGCCCATGGATGACCTGGAGAAGGAGGTGATGCACCTGACCTGTTTGTCGATTTCTGCTTTTCGATGTCTCTTGCTAGGTCGCCAAGATCAACACGGGGCAGCCTGTCCCGACGCAATCCTTCACACTAGATGGAAGGCACTCAGCAACGGAGGGCGGGTGGTGTTTTTTACAACTGTTTGGGCCCTAGTCTACTGCGGTCCTCCAGTCGCTTTGCCCTCTGGGTCCGTAGTCCGTTGGCACCTTTGCATGAGCCCAGTCAGCCAAACCAGCATTAAACACGCCCCTCTCCCCCCTCCCCATCACCCCCGCTGTAAGCTCCCGGCCTGTGGCTTTTGTATGTCTGTGACTTTTAGGGAAAGCGGGGGGGGTGCAGGCCAGAACAACCCACGCCAACCAAATTTTCGGCTTTCAACATTTCCTTTTTGCTTCACAAAAACAAAACAAGACCTCTGAATCCAACAGCACCCTTGGCATTCTGTCCTCGAGTGTCTTCAGTACTGACAGTTGCAAGTATTTTCGAGGGACCCGGGAAAACAAGGAGCCAAAACAACAACAGTACCGCAAAAAAAACCCAAGTGAATGGTTCCAGGCAGCGGCGGACCAGCATGGCGTCCGACAACTCTGCATCGTCGGGCCGTTATGAGTATGAAGGTGCGGTCTTGTTCTTTCTCCCGGTGGCCTTCAAGACCAGGCAGCGACTTTGCGAGTCTGCCCTGTGCAGGCCGCGACATTGCCCAAAGCCCCGACTCGTCGGAGGCGCATGCAAAACAGTTTGTAGTTATGTAAGCTTCCGACTTCTGTGCTCCGTTAGTCTGTGTGACTGCAGCTCTGGCCACCTGCGCTGTTTGCCTGACGTTCGTGCCAGTGATAGCTCATGTGAATGTAAATTGGCTTCATCTCTGTGGGGCTGGCCAGGCACATGAAGCCGACTCAAGGAGGACCGAACTGGCGCCAGATTAGCCCACGCTGTAGCCTGTAGCGTCATTGGGGCGCTCGGTCCTGTAGCGGCTTGTCCGGCGACCCCGACATGCAACTTGTGTCCTGCTGTGCGTTTTCCGGGTTTCGACTGTTTGAAGGGAAGCGGCCATGGACTGAAGCAGAGCTTTTGAAGCTTCCCCCGGTCGTTTATGTGAGCATCTATATGTATATAGATATAGCCTTCAGGCACGTCCAGCTGGAGTTTTCAGTTCAGAGAGATTGCGGGCAGGCCATCAGCCCCTATAGCTCGGATTCTCTCCGAAATGGAGGAGGCTTGCGCCGTGCACACTGTAAAGGTACGTGATGTCCCGATCTCTTTCTGCTCCTTGCTCCAGGAAGGAGATGGGGAGGCGGTTGAAGAGCCGCTCGGCTTCAACGAGTAAATAATGGCTGCAGCAGGAAAAGGTCACTTGTACAATGACTCGCTGAATGCTGAATGCATCAGGCCACAAGGGCCCAAGCTCGGGGAGTTCAGCGTCATCAATGTCCGAAGGCCTGAGCGGACTGCAAGGGCAAGGGTGTTGCCAGGGTTCTTCAAGGGTGCTGCAAGGGTGCTGCAAGGTTCATTGAGCTTCATGTCGTTTCTGTACATTTTCATGTTCAAGTGCTTGTGCTGCCCGACTGCTGCTAGGCTATTTGATGAGCTGGACACTGAGAGGCGCACCCACTGCCTGCCCAATCTAAGTTGAGCCACGAGGCATTGAGGTTGTGCTGAATGCGCGCTCTGAATCGTCGCAAACCCTGTCAGAGGCCGGTACGCCTCCGGACCTCAAAACCCCCGCTCTTAGACCGTATGAGACCATCTGAGACCTTGCCTTCTCAAGAGGCATTCAGGCATGCCATGCTGATAGTGTAGACGTGCAAACGTTTATGTGACGCGGCAGGAAAGGCTTCGTCACACGCAGGGAGCTCCTCTTCGCTTTGAGCTCAAGGGAGGCCTGGGAAAAGGGCCGTTCTGTTGGGAAGTGGAGGTGTGACGATGAGCGACTTGAAAGCTACTTTAGAGTTCCCCGATGGCCCACGAAAACCGTGGCTGTAGGCCAC